ATTTTATCAGTTTTATGTAAGTTATCTACACATTTTAGATTCTGAGTGGAGCGAAGAAGCTTACGGTTTTACAAAAATGTTTATTATTATTATTTTTTTATCTGTTAATAACTTTTCTATCAGAATACTTGTTCGGATTTCTAAGTGTAGCATCTGAAAGAAAATCAGTGTGGGAAAGTTCTTTAGGGAATTCATTTTTCTCAAGAGTTTTCTCATCAAAAACCGAAAAAACAGGAAAATATAAGAAATGTAAGTATTAGTTAAAATATATAACGGCCTTCTTTTATTCTGTAAACAACTTTTCTGTCAACAATTTTGCTCCAACTTTTAATGATAGGAATATTTCTAAAAGGAAATATCTATATCTAGGTACTTTAGAGAGGTAATTACCGATTTTTTCAGGAGTTTTCCCAGCAAATGTGAAAAGCCGGAATAAAACATGGGAAAATCGGAAAAAACGTAGGAGAATTGGGAAAATCGTTATAAACATTAAACAATTATTATTAGAGAAAATATATAAAGTCTATTTAATTACTTTATTATAATATGGTATACATACTGTTGACAAAACATCACTATCGACTGAACTTCGCTCAAAATCGATTTTTCGTAAGCAATGGCTTATGCATTAAATTATCAGTGATTGCACCCGTCCCCATTATCCTGGACGTCTTATTAAATTTATTTTGATAAACGTTTAAGCTACGATAAAATTCGTTAAAATTGCGAACAATAAAATTGTAATTCTGCATTTTTTTCGTTACAAATTATCCAGGCAATTTCCTATATAAATCTTCTAATACAATTAAAATAAATCTGCTCAGAATCATTTTTCATTTTCATACAGTATATGAAGTATATTATTCTATTATCTATAATATACTGTGCCTTCTCAAATTTCTATTTATTACAGTGGCCTATATCGGATATTCTACAATTATCTACGGTGTGAAGAATGCCATGCTTTTTGTTTTTGTACGTTAATGTTCAACTCATTGTTATATCTCCAGAAACAACAAAAATTATTAAATTTTGTATTTTTAGATATTATTAACAAGGATAAGTACTAAACATTCTAATATTTTAATTTATGTTTTATGTTTTAATAAAAAACTTTTAAAAAATAACTTTTATTTTATTGTTTTTGAAAAATGTAAAGATAGTAATTTCATAGAGTTTATTTTTCAAAAAACATTGACGTAACAATCAACTTTTTAATTTCATCAAATTCATGGTTTTTAAACATTCTTGACTTACAGTCAATTACACACAATAATAATAATCAATTAGCGAATGTGATTCCGGTCTGCTGTATGTATTATAATTTTATTACTAACTTAATAACTTATTAATACATTATTAATAATTAAGATTATAAGCTTTTTCGTTCCACTCAGAATTTAAAAATATTCAGAATATAAAGAAACAGGCAAAAGCAAAGAAGTCTACAACTCGAGTATTGACTTGCTTATTATTTAGGCTTGTCTCATGTGAACCATGCTTTAGTCATAATAATACATAAAATATTTGAACACTGTTTTTGTTTTAACACAATAATGTATAATGCGGTGTACGTACAAGTATAGACGTTTGGTGAAATATTATCTATTTAAAGTGTAAAACGCATATAATATACATATTTTTTTGAATAAAATGATTAGTACAAAATTTAGTCGTATATAGGTAGGTAGGTTGGTAGATTTACAGTATATATTGTATGCTACATTGTATATTAGAGTAGAGACGATTAGATAAGACGAACATTATGTAGCTTAAAGACGACAAATATTACAAATGTATATTATACTCGTACTATATGTTCAATAACCGTAACGTGACCACGGGGTTGTTAAAAGTATTTTCATTTTTGACACCGAATTTTAAAAGCTGAAATTCGATAATTAAATACTACCTAAAATAATGCGTTAAAAAAATACTCGTAGGTATATATATATATATATATATACATAAATGCGAAAACTATAACGATAGAGTTTGACAGAGAACACAGAAGAATACATCAGGCGCAATAGGAAAATACGCCGAACTTTCTATTCAAATGGAGCCTGGATATTGTATTTTTACTTCTATCGAACTCAACGTCCGATAATGATAATATTTGTACGTCATATACCTATATGTATAATATTATTGCTTTTATATACTTATATACATTATGTTATTAAGATTTGTTTTTGGCGCCATCGAATTTAGTAGCCGGTAATGTTGAGAAGCTGCGGCGTTTTAGAGAAACAGGAACTTTGAATACTGGGTTGATAACTCGACCTATGAGGTTTTGTACACTGTCGGCAACGCGAATGAACCGGGATCCGTAACTACAGATAAAACGAACTGTGAAATAATTGTTGATAGTGTTACAACCGCGAACCACTATGTATTAGCTGTAGCTGATCATATATTACCCGTTGACGTTCTAGTGGAACGCACGCGGTTAGAACTTCCCTACGTAAACTATTACAACCAGGACAACGAATTTGTTACGATCCCCAGTAAGAGTGCTTCGCGTTATAGTTTCCTTCGACAATGAATCGGTCTCCTAGTTGTTGGAAAAATTCCGTAAATTTAATTTCGTTTACACCTCCGTGAGGTGGGCAATTAATAGCTGTAACTGCGACGTATTTGTTCCCATCGTTAATATGAATACTTGTATCTTGTATGCGTGGTTCCGAGTGTTTATCAAACTCGAGATGCTTTATAGATTCTTTTATGATTACAGCCGTACCTCCTCATGCTTTACCTTTTGGGTGAAGATTGGTGCGTGCAATAATATTGCATTTAGCTACGCATAGTATATTATATTATATCTATATCTCTTGTTGTATAGAAGATTGCTCTTGTATAGCAGTTTAAATGTTTATAATTTATTTTGGAAATATTTCTGTAATTTAGTGTCTCTCCCCTCCCATCAGCCGGGCAGACATCATCGCCGTGTGTGTTGTTCGCAAAGAAAAATACGAAAACAAAATGCATTATGTGTGTAATAATAATCGATGGGGGGATCGATTTGGGGTAAATTGCACCATTACTGTGATATTCCATATCATCGTAGACGAACATTCCATATAGGTACCACATGGTACGCAAAACCAATAAAAACTAATTTTGTTTTTCCTGTGTGGTAAATCGAATAATATTTAAACCTCAAATAGGTTTTTGTATCATGTATTATAATAGTAAATAAAACACGCGAAATAATATATATATATACACTATATTATGCATTATACATATATTATAACCGTAGGGAAACAATCGCTCGCAATTGAAGTTGCATTTGGTACGACGATTTATTATACAACAGAAATGTCGCAGTCGTAATAATATAATATTATAACTGTACTATAGGTATACAGGGACGGTACATTTTCATTTTATCGTCGGTTTTATTGTTATTATTGTACATAGTCGTAACGCACCTATAGCAATATTACACCGATATAATATCGACTGTATACATTTTTTTATTTTTTACATTCGCTTTTGTTTCGCTGATGTGGGGTATGCACGTTGTCAAGTGCTACAGCGTGTAATTCGCGGTAAATAATATCATATTATCACGATGTTATAATACTGTATACTAATTATGATTTAATATTTAGTCTGTGTTGACTTAACCAAAATAACGTAATTTATTGTTATTATTATTATTATATATGTGTGTATTTATTTCGTGCATTCAATTGCTATAATAAAACACAATAAAACTAGGTGTGCGTAAAATAATATGTTATATACCTAGGTGTGGCGCAGTTAACAAAAGTATCCACCTAACCGACCTTTTATTTTAATTTAATTTTAATGCATTTTTATATAAAAGACGTTTCAAACTGTTTTTTTGATACTAAAAATACACTTGCGAGAATCTACACCCATTCCCGCAAAAGCATATTGCGGTTGCTTTACTTGGTAAGCCGTTTGTGCACCAGTGGATTAAAAAATATTGGTTTTTATATTATTATAGAGGTATTGGAAGAATAATTCTGTTACCTAAATGTATAATATAGCTATTACAATTATTGCCATTGAGTTGAGAATATCTAAAAGTAGAGGTTATTTTTTAAATAATTATTATTACGGGGGTATAACACGTGTTATACGTGTTATGTACATAACACGTAAATTAAAACCAAGGAGGTTGAGTAACAGTACGGCTTCAGCTTATTGATTTAGTTTGTGTTCAAATTATTATTTTTGCACACGAAAGCCTTTAAATTTAAATATTATTATTAAAATACATTTAACATGTTACGTAAAATTGAGCGAGGTGAGACGATTACACAACAACGCCATAACATACCTGTTTTAAAATAGTATCCTTACCGAATCCAGTGGCACGCCCAGGATTTTCCAATAGAAAAAGACGTACAATGCTGTAGTCGTAAAAAAAAAATCAGAGGCATACTATAATTTATAACCATACCATTTTAGGTATAAGTGTAACGTCCTCAAGTACATTGTCTAACAGTTAGACTCTAACTTAATGTTTTAGTAGAGGGTATAAATAGTTAATAACAATAACATTTTTATAATAAATATTGTGATTTTACTATGCCAGAGAGTATAACCAGAAGGTGTACAGTGTATACCGCTGTATACCCTCCACTGCAGCCCTGGAGATCTAGCAAATAAATCTTTCATAAATAAATCTTCTTCTACAATTCTTATTCTAAAAACAGGAATCAAAAGCCGGATTCAATAAACCTAATATTTATTTAATAAATAAAGCATTTCCGGTTATAGCTTAGCTGAAATAAATAAGTGCATTGCAAGATTAGGGTCCTACGCTGACACTATCAGAGCGGTATGGGATCATGCGACTCAGGTGACCTTGACACCAAAGTCACGACCATGAGACTGACGCAGTCCGGCGATCTTCTCTGGGAGCTCGCTAGGAACCGTAAGACTATCATCGAGGAGGAAAAACTCAGGGCTCGCTAGTCGATAAACTCGGCTTTTAAACTGGCTCGGCAACCAGACTGTCACCGATTACAATTCTTGAGGTCCTCGATGTTGACGCAACGGCTACTTCTAAGGAGGTACTTGATGCGATCCGCAACATGGTTGTCGCTAAAAGGTCTGACGTCATTGTCACCCACCTCTGGGCACTGAAGTCTGAACAGCAAATATCCATGGTACGGATGTCTCGTGCCGTGAACTCCGCATGAATTGGGTGCAGTGCAAGGTTTGGGTTTGAACCAGTTCGAAAATTTGTATTCACAAAAATCTAAATAAAAACTTAAAAAAGAGCTGATACTGGGGACTGGTGTGCCACTTTTGTAGGTGAGAATTTGGGAAGGTAGGATACATAAAGTTACATAATTTATAACTATAAGCCACGATAAACCATTGCTTACGAAAAACGATTTGAAACAAAATTCAGTTATACATGTTTTGAAAGGCCATAATATTAACGATTTGTTAAAAATTTGATATTAAAACTCTAAAAAAAAAAATATACTGCATTTCACTCAATATTATTTATTTGTTTTACCACTAAGTGCATTATAATATAATGTTGTACCTCCTGTTAAATTGTCGAGTAAATCGGTTTAGTCTAACAATTGTATCTACAGAGTACCTATCAAATAAAAATTAAGTAAAAAAACTCGCACAATTAAAATGTCTATCAACAGCTAAAAAATGGCTCAAATATTATTAAAATTTTACCACATTTAGAAAAGACAAGTATAAGTTTTCTGTCTAAAATTAAAGTCTCTATATATATTTTAAACTGAATTACATAAAAAAAAACAAAATTTATTGTAAATAACAAAAGCCTTATTTTCGTATATCTGCCTTTTCTTTTTACGTTTTTTTTTTATTTTGATCAATTATAAAAAAAAAATTATGAGGAAAATCAAAAAAACGACTGTTTTACTCACCAACAAGATTAAAAGTTCAGCAAAAAAGGTATTTTGTCGTTTTTCAATTGGCAACAATATGGAAACAATAGGTAAACAGATAAAATAATTAAATCGTAAAGCTAGGTTTACACTAGGATAGTACTCGACCGAGTCACTAAAGCAAATTGCTAAATTGAATACTAAATTGCGTTTAGTTATTCTCTACATACAATACAGTAAAATTGACTAGTATAGTTTATTCTGTTATTGTATTTTTATTAATTTTATTGAAAAATGAACAAAAAAAACAGAATGGTCAAAAACTACACTTCGAAAACCACTGAAGAATCAAATGATTCAAAGAAAAAGAAAACAGAAAAAAAATTTATTTGGACAAGAGATTTGCTTTCCCTGACTTAATTTTAATACCGTCATTCGTTTAGTTATTAATTATTTTTATTTATCCGTGGAGGACAAAGTCCGTAACATTAGAATGGTTCGATACTTGCAGATCGATCATCTGATACTAAATAACAGTGATAATTAATTAATAATTAATAAATAAATAATAATTAATTAATTAATTACTAATGACAGTGGTGTAATTGGTTTGGCAGATAAAAGATTGCAAATAACAAGTTCAACTCGGCCGATAAAATAGAACAGTTTTCTAGTCACTCGACTAAAATCTTCTCCCTAGAACTGACACTAGAATTATTACTAAAAATGTGTCCAGGATTTTCAAGCGAAAACAATTTAGGAACTTGCATATGGTGACTTGGTCGATTACTATCCTTGTATAAGCCTAACATAACGCCATAAATTTGTAATTTGTAATTTTACATCGTTTTCCGATTTTTCCAATTATTAAAAAAATATGTATCTTATATTAAGATAATAGAAAGATAATATTATTATCTTATTAACTCATCAAGATGAAAAATGCGACAAAAAGGCCTTTAGACGTTTTTCTATTGGAACAAGATTACAATACACTCCGTATTGGACGTTTATACTATATAGTGTACAATATACACGTAATATACTCGTAGGTTCACGGTTCATATTTTTATTCTTATTTTTCCTGTTTATGAACAATATTTCCATCTAAAGTCTAATTCTAATCAAAAAATGTAAATATACTCTTTTTTAGATTATGGGCGAAGCGAGGGATATTTACAATGATGTTTTTTGTTTTATTTTGTTTTTCTGAAATGTATTAGTAAAATATTACGGTCTTTTTTTTCTGTGAACAACTTTTCTACCAGCAATTTTCTTCGGATTTACAATGATAACACTTTTTCTGAAAGAAAATCTGACTGGGGAGATACTTTAACCAGATCATTTTTTGATTTTCCCAGGAATTTTCCAAATAAATGGGACCAATAAATAATGAAAAAACCGGGAAAAACGTAGGAAAATGGGAAAATAAGTATTATTATTAAGTACAAATATTATTAAAAAATATATATAATACCCACATAATATGTAATTATGTTACCATAATATGACAAATATATTGTTGACAAAGCAACACTATTAATCGAACTCCACTCAGAATCGTTTTTCGTTAGCAATGGTTAATCGTTGCGTATAGATTAATATATAGATTATATATACATTAAATTTACCCTCTACCTTTCCAATTTCTTACCAACAGCGATCCAACCCATCGTGCGAATTATGTCCTATTCTTTCTTTATTGCATATTAGATCTATTTGATGCGAATCTAGGTAAAAATATCCGGATCTCTAATATCCGAGGAAAAAATATCAAAGTATAAATGTATAATTAATAAATAATCATGTTCTTATTCATATACATATCTATATATATTCAAAGTAATTCTTGACTACTCAGTTATAATTTAGTTAATAATACAATATTTAAAAATTACATTCGTCAGTAAAAATATCAAAATATTAAAACAATATCTGTAAGTATATATAATAATAATAAAACAATTAAAAATAATAATACCTGGTAATAAAATATAAATAATAATGTTTAAAAATCTCCTATTGTCTTCGGATATTGTATTATTAACTAAATTGTAACTAAACAGTCAATAATTACTTTAAATGTATACGAATATGTGTATGAAAAACATGAGTATTTATTAATTATTATACATTTATACCTTAATATTTTTTCTTCGGATATTGTAGCTTTGAATATTTTTGCCAGTTACCATGCACTGAAGAGGAAATATTTAATCGTCCAAGCGGATTTTATTGACTTAATAAGGCTAAGGTATAAGGTTTTCCTAGATGTGGTAAAATTTTCAACCGTTCTAGAAAATGTTGAGCTATTTATAGGCATTTGACATTTTATAGTTTTTTCTCTACGAATATTTTCAACTGAGTTAAACAAATAACACAATTTAAAATAATAAAAAGCATAATGTTCGTAAATTTCCCATTTTTCTTACGTTTTCTTCTAGGATTTCCCAGATATTATAAAAACCGCTTAGAAAATCAAAAACATACAGATATAAATTTGAGGAAACAAAATGTTGTTATTCATCCAGTTTTTTGTCTTTACGCCTCACTCTGATGACCTGATGTATACAAACTACCGTCTGGCCTGTAACCCAACCAGCCCATCCCTAATAATAGTTACTTTAAAACATTTCATTTGACATATTATAATGACCCATTTTTATAAAACGAAACCTATTTATTTCCATGTACACATATTTTTTAAAAATGACAGCATCTTTTCCACAATTTGAATTCAGAAACATATTAATTGAATCCTGTTGATAAATTTTTCCTCCTCACCGTTTTAAAGTTAAACATCGACTGTTAATATAATATTCATATAATCTACATAATCTACATACCAGTGTATATATCTTCTTCTTCTTCCGGCCTTAATAACTCTCTGAGAGTTTTCGCCGCTATCACCAAATCACTCCACTTGTCTTGGTCTTGTACTATCTCCCTCCAATTATGTGCTCCAAAATCTTTCAAATATTTTCCTGTGATATTACCCCTAAAACTAAGGTTGACAAAAATAAAATTGTAGAGCAGCTTGTTTCTTAGAAGAAGTATAAGTATCGCCAGAACATGTGGCAAATGTTTGTGGGTTTTAGGAAAAGCGTATGACAGCATCCATAGAAACAGCCTGTATAACGTATATCTAGTTATATTATTTTATAATTAGTTGGATCAGATCATTGTTACAATTTACCCGCGGTTATCGTTGTAATAGGTATATGTATGTATATGTTTAAAACAGAAATACCTTCTACGCTTTTAATACCTATATTTGAAAATATTTTCTAGTATTCAATACATTTAAAAATCTAACTGAAAGGGTTAATACGGAATTGGTTCCCGGGTCAAATAGTGTTCGAATTATTGGTTCCCGAATAAAATAACTTTTCGGCATACAACTGTTCGAATTGGTTCCCACATGTACATTCCATTTTGGAAACGCGTGGTGAAGAAAAATTCAATCTCTAGGACTCTCCTATGATTTCCAAATAATAATTCAGAAATCGAGCAAATATTGAAATACTTTTTCGGATTATCTTTATTGACACCTGATACGAAAACGTTTATGTTGAGTTGATGGCTATAAAACCAGTACATGACAAACTTGACGCATTTTTTGATTACGCATAGTTGAAAATTATATTGAAAATAATAGTGATATTTTACCAAAAATATAAGTAGATTTTTCAGTCACAACAAAACGAACAACAAACTGTTTCTAATCATTTCACGGACAACTGAATTTGAATTCACCATTTTATTCCGCTCACCCAAACATTTGTTTTATTGATTGAACAATTAAAGTCAATCCAATGCGAAACATTTATAAAGCAAAGAAGTTCACAAATATTAAAATAAAAAACAATTGCTGAAAAGGAAAAGTTTATTGACGAAAATATGAAAAAATTGAAAGACTGACAAATTTTGAACTTACAATTCGTTAATAATGTATGTTGTAAATTCATACCACGTTAATTTTTTGTTTAATATTATTTATTATGACTTATTATGATACCGCATTATTGATGTAAGGGAAATATATTATTATATAAATTATACCTATATTCTATAACAAACACAAATATTATTATTGACAAATACGTACGTATAGCATATATTATGTATATAGACTGAGCAACATTTTTAACCATACCTGGGTGTTCTAGTCAGTCTAGACAGTCCTAATAAGCTGTATAAAATGGGAAAGAAATTTTTGTTGGTTGATTATATCGTAATAACCTGAAAAGTTAACAAGGTTTTATTATCATGAAATCTTGTGGGAACCAATTTGTATGTTACCTGTAGACAACCCGGAAACCAATTCGACAACTGAGAACTAACTCGTAGTCGTACGCTAGAAGTTAGGAAACAATTAGCGGTTTTGAGTAGGTACTCCTAATCCATTTCGGCACTTCTATAATCAAACATTTTGATACGCAAATGATGTATGGATAAATCCGGATTGGTTCCCAAGCTCATACCCCACATGGCGAATTGGTTTTCGTTTGAAAAAGTTACGTACTTCATGAAGTTGAGCCAAATATCGGTTCCTGTTTAATACCTATATTTAAACAATAAACACAATAGATGTAGGTATAACCTAGTACATTATAGATTCTGAATGGAGCGAAGAAGTTTATAGTTTTACAATAATGTTTAATTTTTTTTTCTTGTGAACAACTTTTCTACCATAAATGTTGATCCGATTTTTAAATGTAACATATTTTCTTAAAGGAAATCGGACTACGGAAATACTTTAAAAAGGTCATTTTTTTTTTTATTTTCCTAAAAGTTTCTTCAGCAAATGTGAAAAATCGGAAAAAAACGGAGGAAAAATGGGAAAATGTACGGAAATGTATTAGTAAAATATTACGGTATTTTTTTTCTGTGAACAACTTTTATAACAGCAATTTTGCTCCAATTTATAATGATAGCAATTTTTCCGAAAGGAAATCTGACTGGGAAGATATTTTACGGAGGTAATTTTTTGATTTTCCCTGTAATTTTTCCTAAAAATGGGAAAAACTTAGGATAAACGGGAAAATAGGAACAATATTAAACAAAAATTACTAAAGAAAATATAACATAATGCCTATGTAATTATTTTACAATAATATGACATATAATATATTGTTGACAAAGTAACATTATAAACTGAACTCCGCTGAGAATCGTTTTGTCGTTAGCAATGGTTTATTGTTGCTTATACAGATATACATTAAATTTCCCCTCTACTGCCGTCCCAACTTCTCACCTATATAAATTTTTATTAACTCTTATCGTACTACGGCGGGCAAGACCGTGATTATGATTTTGTTGCCCACGGGCAACAACGTTTTGACGCCCTCGACTTTGCTTATGATTACATTTAAAACTACTTAAATAGTCAGGAAAGCCAGGAATGCTAGATACAGAAGATAATTTAATGTATAAGCTTCAAGCAACGATAAGCCATTGCGCTAATGAAAAGCTATTCTGAGCGGAGTTCAGCAAACAACACTAGCACACCCATATCGTCAGCGGCATCGGGTCATTCCCTCGCCCCCGTAAATTTCAATTACGTTAAACGGCCGGTATAATACTATAACGGAACCCGTCGCCCGTCAGTATATTGTTTTTTTTTTATTTTTCTTTCGTTACATTATAACACACACGAGTATTATTATATTATTCAGTACGTATATCGGGAAAAAAAAAAAAAAAAAAAAGCTACCGTAAAGTAACCGAATACCGTTCCGCATATTATCCCGCCCGCCGCCGCTGCAGCTTTCGCTGTAATATGCTCGCCGCGTGTCACCGCGTGTAACGGTACGAACCGTTGAGAGGGCGTCGCGAAACCGCGTACACGACACGGTATTGTATTACGGGGGGGGGGCGGGTTTCGCCCCCGTCCGCACCCCCGACAGCCGCCGCCGCCTTCCCCTCCACCGCCCCCTCGCTCGCCTAGGCGTACCGGCGCCGGTTCCCCGGTTTTGTTGTGCACGTTGTCAAAGCGACCCGATTCACCGGCTAATAATAACGATGATAACGATAATATATTCCGTGTCGTGCGGTCACACAACGCATTGTTATAATGCCGGTGGCAGGTATACAGCAACACACGTACGGGTACTGTACACAAACCGTACCATGGGTACCCCGTCTTGTATTGTTATTATTATTATTATTATTATCATTATTATCATTATCATTATTGCAGGTATACGCGCGGTATAATAATATAATACATGGTCGGCCGTCGACTTTTTCCTCTTTCCAAAACGGAACGAATGCGCGTATACCATACGGTATACGTACACGGGCGTGACGCGAACGGGCGAGACGGGGAGGGTGCAGGGAGAGGACAGAGTTATTAGGGACGAGGTGGATGGCGGCGCATTACCGTCTTTGTGTTCGGGCCGCGAGCGCACCGCCTACCCCTCGTGTGCGCGCGCCGTTTGAAAGACACGCGTTGGTACCGTTACGTTTTCGTCGTTATTGTAGATTATTATTATTATTATTATTATTATTATTATTATTGTTATTATTGTTATAATATATTATTATCGCGAACGGCTGCCGCGCGCGTAACATAATAACGACAATAATAAGTATCAACTCTAACGGCAGGTGTACGAAAGCGCCAAAGCTTTTTCGGTATCGATCCCGGACGACGCCGCGGTCGGCGCGACCCGGCTCGGGAAGGCGCGCCGCCATTGGGGCCGCCCCCCTCCCCCCCCGGGACGGCCAATGAGAAAAAAGCTCCCGGGGTATCGATCCCCGTGTCCATCCATTGCGATAATTAACGGTGTCGTTTTATTACGATAGCGTTTCGACCCCCTATTTTTATTGCGTTCCGTAGCACGCGTGTGCGCGGCGCAGGTCGACCGGGTACGGCGGCGGGTACGGACGGCGACGGCGACGGCGCGGCGCTGCGACGCGACGACGACGACGACGACGACGACGACGACGACGACGACGGCGACGACGGCGGCGGCGGCGGCCGCGACGACGACGCCAAACGGTTTCACTTGCATTCGTCCGCACCTCTTCGCCGAATTCGGTTTTCGGTCCCGTTCGCGTCGCACGCGCGCCGCGCCGGCGACGGGCGCGACTCGCACGCACTTTGAGCGCGCGCGCGCGCTCGCGCCGCCGCCGCGGCCGCCGTACGCGTATACGTTGTACGACGTACGTACTCGCGCGGCTTGTGCGCGCGTGTACGCGGCGTTCGTATTGTATTTGATTTCCCCTCCGCGCACGCACGTACGCACACACACACACACACACACACAAAGTCGGACGTTTTTTACCGAGCCGCGTACGACACGCACACGCAAACACGCGGTCCTTCGAAACTCTTTCGACACAATGTACATTAATGTGTGTACGTTTTCGTGTACGAACGATATTCAAGGACGTATTCAAATGTTTAATTCACCGTGTACAATTGCGCCCGTATACAATACCCGTACGTAACGTGCGGACGTCCGTTACGGTTTTCGGCTGTTGTACGGGACGCGCGCGGGCCCCGCGCCATGCCCGCGCATTGTATAGGTACTTTTTATACCGTACGTACGATATCTGCGTACAAAACGTGCACGCCAGCGATCGGTCGTCCGCCCGGAAGGTGAGTACACGCAACGTTATACTATACTATATAATATAATACACGCATAATGTAAAAAATGACGGTAATGATGTCATGAGGTGTCATAATAATATCATTTATAGGCGACGTCTACGCGCGTAAGTCGATGTTGTTTTTTGTGCGTTGTTATTATTTTCGGTTTTTGTTTGTGATCGCCGTTACCTCCGACCGCGGTGCCGCGGCTGCAGGGGCCCCCGTTCTTCTCGTCGCGAATACTTTCCGCGCTCGCCGCCCGCGCGCGTGCGTCCCCCGACGCCGTTGGCGGAAGACTGCGGGTACGGCCGGGGGCCGACGCGTCCGACGATTTTCGCGCGTACCCGCGTAATAACAACAACAATAATAGTAATAATGTTGTTTACGGCGTATTGCGACGTTGGAAACGCCGTCGTCGGCTGTCGATACGCACTCTGTTGTCGTAGTCGGTCGTCGTCGTCGTTGTACCGCGTCGGTACCTCGCTGCGGCGGGTACGGCGACGTTCGGCGTGAAAATTCGATTCGTGTCTAATTCCCGCCTCCCCGCTCCCCCACTCGCCCGGTGACGAGTTGGTATTATTATTGTGTTATATGCAGTACGATAATAGTACGATCGATACGTCTGCGGAAGGACGTTTGGAAAAAAAAAAAAAATAGAAATTAGAAGTAGTAAATGAAAAAAGTAATAATAATAATAATAATAATGAAAAAACCGCCGGATCGACGACGACGGGGAAACTTATTACAATAATAAGTCCGCGGCCGGGGACAGGGGGAGAGACCGCTCTATATATATACACACCACCGCCATCGTCGTATTCTATAATGCGAGACGGCCGCGACTCTATATAGGTCTGTTTTTTTTTTTTTTTTATTTCATTTTTTTTTTCCTACTACTATTATTCTTACCGGTTACCAGAGTGTGCGGACACTGCACGCCGGCGCGGCGCGTACGTTTACGCGCGGCCGGGTCCCCCGGGAAGCGGTTTCGATCGATTCTCTCTGCGCGCAGTACGCTCATAACGCTATTATAACACACACCGATATTATATATAAATATATGTTCGGGTACACGCGCGTGCAAGTGTATTATATTTTTGTATTTATAGAGAGAGAGAGAGAGAGAGAGAGAGAAAGAGTGCTGGAGAGAAAAGGGAAGACGGACGGACGGACGGTTTGATATAACAATCCCGAACGAAACGCTTTTGCCCCGCGGCCAGGGGCAATCGTCGCGCGTCGTCGTCTCTCCGCCGCCCGTGTCCCGAGAGACGGTCGTAATAAAATAATATTATTATTATTATTATTATTACGTTTTTACGCCGCGCGCATGTACACGGGCGCTTGTGGGCGGCGACGGCGGCGGATTTCGGCCGGCTGTGTGCGCGGTGCTGCGTTTATACAATACAATGTAACAACGAGTGCCGGAAAGAAAGAGAGAAAAAAAAAAAAAACGCGACAATACGAAATCCGACTCGTACGAGAACCCGAGCGCAATACGAAAATGAAACGGGAAATTGTTATCGCACTATACGAACGACGGGTTCAGCGCGGTCTCGGGCCCCGGATTTACGCGGAGCAGAACCGACAAACGCGATTAGCCACGTGTATTATTACGCGTGTTACGCGCGCATAACGTTACACGGGCGCGCGCAATACGCGTGTGCCGACGGGCAGCCGCGGGACCGTAAGAGGTCGGACGGTGACTCGCGGGTCGAGTGGCAGGGCTGACCGACATGCGCGCGCGAAATAAGCGTCGGCCCGGTCCGGAAATTTCGCGCGGGTTAGCGGAAAACGCATGAAAATGCGGCGATTGCGCACGTACGCGGTGGCGCGTGCTTGGCTTTTCAGCGTTAGCCCCCACACCGCCCCCCTCCCCCTACCCGGCGATTTTCAATGCTCGCCGCCGTTACGTCACGACCGCACCGCCGTCCCTCTCGGCGAACGCCGAATCGCGCGGTCACTGATTGCAGTTCGTGCGGTTGTTGATTTCGAGTCCCGGGCCATACTGCGGCGCTTGATGTCCGCGAAAAAGCGATTAAAACCGTCGAAAACGCGCCTAAACAATATTTTTGCAAAAAAGGCAACGGTCAACGCGGTCGTTTTATCGTTTTCTACGTGTATAATACGTACAATAAATTTTACTCAGAATTTTGAGCAAAGTTCCGCTTTCCGTGATGGTTAATAACCGGGTTTACCACAGAAAAAAACCGAAATCGAAAAAAACGAAACTCTTATTAACATACTGTTAGATTTCCCGTATTTCTTACCTTTTTTCTTTTTCTCGGACTTTCCCGATCGTTATGAAAACCGATTAATTAGTCAAAACGCGGCTTACTTACACGGCGACGAGATCCAAAATTAAATATAAATAATAAAAAAAAAAAACACGTAGTAAAACCGATATAATTTTCTCGTCTAATCTAAAATCAGTTCCCGTTTAATACGTCGAACGTCTGCTTTGTAATAACTACGGAATGAGTTCCGAATTACACTGTAATGATTCTTTAATGATTCTGTTATCAGCGGTGGACGCGCGAGAGGAGAATTCGACGTTGACGCCCCCTATAATGTATATAATACGTTTACCGCGAGTATACAATTTGTTCAAACCCTCAAAAAAACTGGTCGACCCCGAATTCCGGAAGATAATAATAGCGGGAGGGGGGGGCGGGAAAGGAATTTAACAAATGGTTTACTTAAGTAAGTCGGGTGTTAATCACCGCGGACCGATATCCTCTTTGCAGCTGACGTTGCCTTTATTCCGGGGTTGCCCGTTCGGTTATGAACACGCGCACCGTAAATACGCTTAAATGGGCTCGATACGGAATAATGGCATCCGCACAATTTTCGAAAACTTCGCGGTAAATAATGTCGAAATCAAACTCAAAAATCGAATGTATCCATAATCGTCGTAACACAATAGTCGCCGGTTCATGGCGGTAAAAAAAAACTCACCCGTTTGTTATGTTGCCGAAATTCGTAAAATCGATTGAGTACCCATAATATCCAGAGTACAATATGCTCGAGTCTTACGAATCGCCGTTGTTTGATTGTTGTTTTGTCTAAAAATCGTTTTTTTTTTTTTTTTAATTTTTTTGTTTTTTTTTAGTGATTTCTAATCGACCGCGTCATTTCACGGTAAAAACTCGCGTAGAATATGATAATATCAAACACATTTTCTATATTTTGTTTTTTTTTTTTTACAACATTTCTATTAGATACATAATTTACGAAAAGAAAACATTTTAAGATTGTACGATTTCAATCGACACTAATACTTTTTCGATTTTTCGATTGTAAAAGCAAAACTATTATAGTGTGTTATAAATTCGTGTAATTTCGAATTTAATACCGCTAAAGTCAGGTCGCGAAAATTGCTTTATTGTAAACTAATTTTAGATTCAGTGCGGAACGAGAAATATATTGATTTTACAATGATGTTTATTTCTTTTTTTTTTCTTTTGTGGACAAATTTCTACCAGCGATTGCGCTCATTTACAATGATAGCACTTTTTCTAAAAGTAATTCTGACTGGGGAGTGGGGAGGTACTTTAAGGAAATCATTCTTCTCAGAAGTTTTATCAATAAATGGGAAAAACATGGGAAAACCGAAAGAACAGGAAAATAGATACAATATTAAACAAATATTATTAAAGAAAATGTTTAATGCATGGGTAATCATTTTACCAAAATATGACATATTTATTGTTGACAAAACAACACTATCTACCGAACTCCTCTCAGAATCGTTTTTTCGTTAGCCATGGTTAATCGTTGCTTACAGATATACATTAAACTCCGGTCTTTACCCTATCTTCCCAATTTCCCACCTACAACAGTGACTGCACTCGTCCCCATCATCCTAGGACAGCTTTTTTTTTTATTTACATCTCGAAATAACGTCGAAAAGGCAAAATAGCTCGTAAAATAATTGAAAACGTTAGAGACTTTATTGAATCATAGAGAAAAATCATAGTTTTATTGCCTTTTATTATTCTATACGTTTTGATTGGTTAAAATTTCACACAATTTCACACGTTATTAGAGCCGCCGTAGTTGTCCGTTTCTCTATAATAATATTATAATGAAGTCAACAAAATTTTTTCGCAAGATTTTTTTACCGTGGAATTATTATCATTATTGTAATAGATGGAATGTTAATTGTTTGTATTTTTAGGATGACACGCGTTAAAAAACCGGCTTTTGTTTTGCAACAATTATCAATGACTATTTGTCATTGTACACATTATTATCTTATCACGCACTGTTATTATTATATTACTACGGTTTTTTATTTTTTTTTAGTACTATTATTACTAATGCGTTTTCGAGAACGTAATATTTAACATTTTCATACAATTATTATATTATTATTGTTATTTTGATCGTCCGAACGCTATCCACTACTAATGCAATGCTCTCGAGGGGAAATGTTTTATTATATTATTATTATTATTATGACGGTTTAATGCGCGGTTCATTGAACTTGCACATTGTGCGTAACGTGTGGTTCCCGCGTGATGAAAGTAATTTTTTAATTTTTCTAAACGAAACCGTTTAAGAAGCCCGTCACAGCATGCAGTGACATTCGCCAGACGTTTCAGTTTATCTAACGAGGGCGAATAATCCGACGAAAATGTGTTCGCGTATAACAACAACAACGGAAATGCCTTTAAAAATAGGTTTCACGGAAGATAAAACGCGTATTAGTATACTATTTATAGACGCTGGCGATATTTTGGAGACAATCACGTCGGCGTCTTTTCCCCCTCGAAATATTATTTATATGGACAAAAAAAAATCAATGCACCACAATTTTCAAAATAAACAAAATCATTTAAAATACGATTTTAATTTGTCGTGCACGAGTTGAACATTTAAATAATAATATTGTAATACGCCGACGATGTTGTTGTCTTCACATTTGATAATACAAATCATATCTCTAAAACCGATTTTAAAGGCTTTTCTGTTTGTTCTGACGATCACATTTTTGCTAAGACGGTGAATGCCATAGTGGCGGACCTCTTATGAGGACCCAATAATTATCGTCTCAGCTCTCAGTTTATTGTACATAACTAACGTTAACGCAACGTCGCCTTACTGTTAGAACAAAAATCGCAGCGTTTTCGTTGAAATTATAGAATTGATACGAAAATCACAATATTTAAAGAGCATACCGAAAAATTGCCGTTTTCTATAATATTGTACGTTGCTTTTTCTCTATAAAAAAAAAATGCAAAAAAAAACATTGCTGTAACTTTTTCGTCCAACTATATTTTATAGAGAATCGGGAACGTACTGCCCTCGAAAATATTCTGCTTTTTAAATTTTTTTTCTCGATTAAATCAAGCTAACTAAATAAAACAAAATCTTCCACTAAAAATTAAATATTGACAAAAAATAAATTGTACTTGTTAATTTAAAAGCTAAAAAGTAGTTAACTATTCTGTTAAAAAAAAAAAAGAGAATTTTGTTTTTGTTACAAAAAAATCAACATTAAAATTATTCAGTATAAAATAGTATATATAAATGACTATCACAGTAAATATTATAATACATAACACTGGAAACAGCTAATTAATTGAATTTAAAAAAAAAAAAAATCATTAGTCTTTAACTTGTTAACTTAAGTAAATGTTTATGCAAAGTGATTGTAATCATAACTTTTTAAATTATAATAAGTATTAAATAGAAATAAAACGCCGATGGAGACGGGTCTTCAAAATGGCATCGTTTACAAATATTATAATGGATATTTTATATCTAGAACTAATATTTATGGTCTTTTTTTGTTTTATTTTTTCGTTAACACATTTGACTACTGACAATTTAATAGTAAATTGTTTTAGGTTACAATCAGCTATTTTTAAAATAAAAAGGAATCTTTTCCATTACATAGATGGGAGGATTAATAGAGATATTATTTTAAGGCGTTGAAAATGTCAGGTTATACATTCAACGCACTTCACAGTAATTCCATCTCGTTGCCCGCCCCTCCCTCTTTCTCAAAGTTCTTTATTGCGCCCACAACTGGAATTCGTTACCGTACTTCGGGACTCATCATTTGCCTCTGCTCAGTGTACCCTAAAAAGGGCCAAGCGTAAATTTCTACGCCAGTCATCCTTCGCTTTTAAGATTCCTTGTCATCCCCACTATTTACTCTCCATTTAGTAAGGTGATCTCGCCCTGCAACCTATCCGTATACATATAGGGCGTCCCTTCTGTCTTTTTCAAATCTCATCTTCGGTAAGATATAGATTATCCTATTTTTAATAATTCTCGTAATTTTGTACATCCCCTCTTATTCCACCACAGCAATTGCTATTTTCAAACTACTTCTCTCCTCTACATCATACCACCAGAATTCGGCAATTAAAAGGACAATGCGTTCCGCAAACGGGAACGCGTCATTCATTGACAAATCCCTAGAATTTTATTACCTTATAATTAAATGTTTTTTTCCTGTACTTTAAAAACTAAATGTTTCCGCATTGTTAATAAATGAATAGTGAGTATTGCGTTCAAACTACATTTACTGCAATCGAGTTGTACCTTCCATCGCTAAATATAATGTTTATTTTTTTTATTTTTTTTTTTATCATAAAGCGAACCTTTTAGGTTGCTAAACATTAGTTTAGACACCTTATATCCGTCCGTCCATAGTTACCAGTACATATAGTTACGGTTGTTGATTTGGTTGACAAGGAGATATTATAATAGATATATTATTAATCGTAACATTATAGTTATTATTCTTATTTTAAATAAAAATTCCATCAAACTGTTACCGTTGTTTATTTAAATATGGACATTATGTATACATCTATACATTCATGTTAACCAATATTAAAAATATAGAGTGATGTTTGAGTAGTATTTACTTACGGAATTTTAAAATGTTCCGCCAGCTATTTACGAATTAAAATTTAAAATTTTTTTGGATTTCTACACATACCTAAGTATAATATTATACTAGTTTACCAAATTCTTTCGAAAATATTTACGAAAACTGCATAGTGTGTTGTTTAAAAATACGTTTAACAACCGGGAAACTTATCTCGTTTTCCTAACTTGTTATCGTGTATTCCTGCAGCTGGGTAATATAATATTTTTGAAATTAGTTTTATCGAAACTCAAAAATAATAATCTTGGAGAAACATTCTGAAAAACGCATAGGCATATAATCGTCACGAGTTCGATTTGAACACAAGCACTTAACGATACGCGCGTACTTTCTCCTCAAAATTTGTCTTAGCGGAATATTTTCTAATATTCTTTTATATACTATATTATTATGATACACTATTCCAGTTTGTTACAGCCTGTAACAGTATAGTATGGCATTAGTTATATATACCTACCAGATTTAAAACGATTTAAACAATTATTATAATATATGAATAGACCACTGTTATATAATTGAATGCCGACGCATTCGTTTGCGTTTCAACACGAAATTGGCCTATTTCCGGTTAACGTGATAGACCGCATTAATAAAAATTATTATTATTTGACGTCAGAGAATAGGATGTCTGACGTTTAGCAGTTTAGTTCTTTCACTGGTATTTGAGTTTGATACCTTTATATATATATATATAGGTTTCCTTATTTGAATAGCACTTGATTTTTTCACTTGACAAAGCGTCAAGTTCATATTCATATAATAAATTCATAAACCTATTCTCCCTTTAGATAATTTCTGTCGAGACTTAAATTAACAAAGTTAAAAAATAATAAATTCAAATCGTTTAACCGCTAATAAATGTGAATTTATTAATACAGTTATAGTTGATTTTATATTTTAGTACCGTTATTGTTATTACAATTATTCCAATTTTCAATTATAATAACAGTTTATATGTAAAATATCCTTTTGTGTAGATTATTCATGAAAAATACCATAATAATAAAAATGAAATACAATTCTGAGCGAAATTCAGTTAAATATGTTTTGAAATGATTTTTATAATTTTCATACAAATTTTAACTTAGAAATGCTTATAAAAAAAACTATTACATTACGTTCAACTTTTTTTTGAAGGTCACTAAGTAAATCCTATAATGAACCCCGTGTAAAATTTTTAAATTATGAAATCTGCGTATAGAAATAGTTAGGAAGGTGGTTGAAGGTTAAAACCATCAAGATACATTCTTGATACTCGCATCGTGCATGTATAAAATTATTTCCCCCAAGCTTCATTTGGAGGGTATGAAAACGTGAATTGTTATCAAGTTCGTCAAAACGTAGTCCATGTAAATAATATTTTAATGAAAATGTATACTCATGTATACATAATAAACGTGAATTTACTATCCGTATTTAGGTGTTATTTAGGTGAATACGTAGAGAAAATACGTGAAAAATATCGTGAAACACGTGAATAATTACACGTATGCGTTGTACACGGATTTTTTAAGTATCTATCTATACGGTTTTATAGATTCGAATGTTAATTTCACGTGAATACGTAAAAGCGTGTGCACGTGGAACAAGGAGCTCTACTATAAGGACGTACATACTCATACATCCGTGTAAATATGCTGTGATGTATTACGACGTGGTGTAATGACTGTAATGTACATAATATTATTATTTCCCATGCATATTTTCGTGTAACGCAGGTATAATATAGTGTTACGATTTTTTTTTATCTCCAAACGGTTCACGGATTAACACGATTTGACGAGACTAAAAAGAACCGTAAGAAAATCGGAGCGATATATATATACATATATATATATATTAACATGAAGAAAAATACACAGGCATATCGATTCTTCTCGAAACGTTTTTTTTTTTTCCGAAATCTAAAACTCCTCTATACACAAAATACAATAGAAAGTCCATGTATAAATATATTATATATATATATACGTTTTTGTGTGTGTGTGTGTGTGTGTGTGTAGAAGTTTATGAGAAATTAATATCATCTCACCATATTATTTTTTTTGTTTTTATCACACTATAGAGTTCTTTTTTTTGGTTTTAGCGGCTTTTCAGCCTGTTTACCTGCAATCAGGACAAGAAAAAATTATTGAGAAAAATATTTGACGTTAATTTAACCGCCAAAAGCTCGGAATAATACTTATACATTTAACCTTTGGAGATAATAACAATGAGCGTTTTAAAGCGATTACAGATACTTACGAGATTATTATATGGAAATAGATTTGAATTCACTATGGATTCTAAGTATAATACAATATGAGATCGTTCGGGTTAATTATTTGAAAATTTTAAATTAAATCTTTATGTATATTTGAAATTTCGTTTATTAAATGCTTACGAGTTTAATTAAAATTCAAACGTCGCCAGATTTTATAGAATGCGGACGTTCTATTTGTTAATTATTCGTTGTCCATTTCAAAAACTATACCAAAATTACTAAATTCTGCAGAGTGAGGCGAGAATTGTATATTAGTTTACTCTGTGATGGGTGCTTTTCTTTTTTTTTTTGTATGTGTTTCACAAACATCTTCAGGCTCTAATTAGTCAACTTCAGATGTGATTTTTTTGTGTTATATTTTTGGGCTGCGTGTTTTGAATTTTGGCTGTTTTTTTTTTGTTTCGATTATTCGCGGGTAAAATATTTGTTGGCCTCGTGTAAACGCACAAACATTGTATAGTATTACAATATGACTAAATTGGTACTTACTGTGTTTTAAAAATAGACAAGCCTAATAAGTTCCTCGTCGTAAATCGTTCTTATGGCAATATATAACATTAACGAAAATCCGTAAAGTCACCGCAAGTTAATAATATTTATTGTTGTTATCTACTTTCTGGTCAAAAATCTCCGAGGAAAATATTTTTGGCTAAATACCACGAATACAAGATGTTTCCATGTAAATAATATCTCAGTTACAAAACAACTCTTGTGGATATATTTTTTAAACAAAATATCTTTCATTGATCTCATCATCGTAAATAAAATTATAACGTACAACTTAAATGTATTATAATTCAATTATTTATAATCGATTATTATTATAAATTCATATCCCAATAAATATAAACATTTATATATAAAAAAAAATTCAATAAAAAATACTAAACGTCTTGTTTTACCTACAAATGTGTCAAGACTAAATGTGCGGATTGATAAATCTCACGATATTTTCAAATTTTCAAATTTTTAATTTGTTACTGTTTTCAAATCAAATTCCTCCTTATTTCATTTGTTTTCGTATAATTGTAACACAATATATATCCCGATTTTGTATCTACAGTACTTGAATTAATATTGAATTATTCTTGAGAAAATTAAAAATGGCTATTAAATTGGTAACGTTGCGGTGCGCCGTAAATGTTAGCCGTTTTTCTGATAGTTTTTTTCCCGGTTTTTCCCAATTATTATGAAAACCTTTTGGCAAATCAAAAAATGTTCTTCTTGACGCATCAACTAGATAACGTTTTCTTTCAAAAAATGTACTACGTTTGAATCATCGGACCAAGATTTCTGATTGAAAAGTTGCTCACGGACACACACAAAAAAATCACCCCTCATAGACCATAGTAAAACCAAAGATCCCTCCCTACGCCCCGAATCTAAGAGAAAATAAACTTGATGAAAAACATAATTATTTTTATCAATACAAGTGTAGTAATTCGTCTGATAGTATCGCACGTGAGAAATCAAAGTGAACACATGTCAATGGTCTTTTGCAACACAGTCCAATACACTTATCATCTTATGTTGTCTAACACTTATGTCGGAAAGAACAACTCTTGGGGTTTGAAAATATAAGAAAACCTATTTTTTCTTTTGTTGGGTAGGTTGTTTTTGCGGAATTCCGGTAGAAGTTATAAATAAATGTTTACAACTTTGGGAATAACGATGTTTAAAGTTTAGGATGGAATAAACAATTCAATTTTCAATAATATACAATCATTTTATTTATGATTATAATTCACAATTATATTGTATTTGGAATTCAAATTTCTAATCAAAATATAATAATACAGTAAATGTGTCAACTATAAATGAAAAATTAAGACGTATTATTTGTATTAAATTATGATCATATAGTGATATACGATCATGTTTTGCTGTCATGGGCATAATTAAAATAACGACTCATCGGATTTCATAGGTCATATATGGTTTATCGCCACTAGACATTTAAAACGCATAAACTATATTTTCAACTACATATTTACAAATCATATTATGGTAATCGACAAAAAAACACGTATTAGCTCTAGCCGTAATTCTACTGATTTTTGTAACAGATAAGAGATTTTCAAAAAAAAAAAAAAAAAGGAGGGGGTTGAAAACAAATATCTCATGGGGGTAAAATAATCCAAATACTTCCGAACTTGAATATCATAGAAGAAGTGGACAAAAACCGATTGTTATATTATCATATAGGAATAACCGAAGAGCCTATTATAATGTTTTGTTATTTTTTTTTTTTTTGCCATCTGCCGCCGTAGTAGCAACGCGTGTACAGCCATATAGGTATATATTATTATTGTTATTACGACGGTAGTCTGAGGAATATATTTTTTATTAATATAATACTACGCTGCGTGCACGCCGCCGCCGCCTTGTAAGTAGAGCAAAATAAAGTAGTACTGCGGTGCAGGTGCGATGTTTTTTTTTTCCCCTTCTAATGTGACGGCGGCAGTGGCGTGGAAACACTGAAAACTCTCCTTGTGTTGTAGGCGTATTATAATATTATATAGTAACGTTTCGACGTTTTTTTCTTTTCTTTTTTTTTTTTTTTTTTTTACTGGACAGACAAAAAAAAAACTCCTTTTAACGAAGCTTCGAGACGGCGGCCAATAGTTACAGCAGGTACGTGTTATAATATTATTTTCAACGCGTTGCACCAGCAATAATGAAATAATATTTTTACGAATTTACGCTATAAATAATATTTTCCGCCGACCGGCGAAATATACGTATAGGTATAGGTCTATTACGATTGACTCGTCGCGCACGTATAGATTTCGTATTTAATATATTTCGGTTTTTTTTTTCTCTCATTCTGTCAAATTTCTTCGTTATATACCCAAAAAAAAAAAACCGACACGAATAATAAAAAATACATACACGTCCGCGTCGGCGACGTCCATGGAGACGGAGACGGCGGCGGCGGTTTGGCGTGTACGACGATCGAAAATACCTTTATGTAATATTATTATGTATTTTTCAGTGTGTGTGTGTGTGTGTGTGTGTGTGTATGTGTGTGTGTGTGTGTGTGTGCGCGCACTGTTAGCGGATGTATCTAAAAGACTCTTTGTGTGCTCATCTTCACACGTATTAACGGCGGCAGTGTTTGTGAGTGCGTGTGTATATGCGGGAGATGCTTGTACAGAGTGCTCATAAAGTGTCGATCGAAACCTTAAACTAAACGATCATGTACGTATTTTAACGCCATACTCCACCGTCTACTAACGATCCTTCACTTCCCCACGACGGTCGTATAATCATTACTATTTTTCTGTGCCGAAAAAAACTTGTTTTTTACTGATGCTTCTGAATGAGCTTCAAAGGAATATTATTATTATTACATTAATGTATGAATACATAATATATTATTGATTTTACTATGAGGAATGTTTAACAATAATAGTTCATTACACTAACTGTTAGCGGGTCAACAACTTTTCGGAAAGAAAATGCACTTCTCTGTTGGTGAATATTTAGGAAGTGACCGGGAAATAACGTCGGAAAAACGGAAAAATTCGCGCAATAACGATTTCTGTAATTTTCGGTTTTGTTTTTGCTATTGTAATTCGGTTAATTATATCGTAGACTTGACATTTTCATCTAATACTCATATTGCCTATTTTAGACACGATAAAATGTCCAAAATATATTCGGTAAACATGTGAACTATTTATGGCTTTATAAGCATTCGATCTTTTCGTGGTTTTTTCGATTTTTATTTGGTTGTGTGTGGATAAAATTGCTTTGTCCAAAATTCACGAAAATGTAACATAAAGTCGATCAGAAATTATATTTTAGTGGTAAAAAAAGTCGAGCATAATGTAGTAGTTTTTATTTATTAACGTAATAAGTTCTAATTTGAATTGAAATCGTCAAAATCGCAAAATATTTTTAACTCAATTTCGCTCGGTATCGGTGATTTTCTATGAGCTCTTTGGGAGGCCCGGATCGAATTGATATATTAAGTTCCATCGCACGTATTAACTACTTCGGTACGCCCGTAGCGTACAAATTCTGTATAAATCTTAACACTCTTATCCGCATAAACCTTTTTGGAACGTAGTATTGTATAACGTTCGTAATAAATATGGAGAATTTTAAATAAATACCTAATTATAATTTATATTTGTATAAAATATATACATAGGTATATACACAATATTATAAACTATAGAATTAATATTGCTGGACACGACGGATTCTAAAAAAATTACTCATGACGACCGTCTTGAGTAATTTTGCCGCCCATACACAAATTAATCATTTGTATATTTTTACAGGCGGTATTATCACTATAATAAGCGTATTGTATCCATATAATAATTTGATTTTGAGGTTATTTTTTTATGTCCTAAAATATGACGTTATTAATCATTTCTATTAAAATCACCTTCATAATAATAAATAAACAATTTATAAATTGTAATTCATCGCAACGAAGTCCACGTGAAAAAAAAAAAAATAAAAACAGATTTATAATTAAATTATTTTTCGTTTCAAGACCGCCAAACCGACTGTAGGCGAGTCGTGACCCGGCGTGTTGTTTACCATGTCGGAGACCCGTGAATTTATTCTGGACCTGTAAACCGTTTGGCTGTAGGCGAGTTACAGCCCGAGTAAACTTTTATCGCTGATACATTTACATCTATTATAATTATTACGCTCATAATTGTTTATAAAGTACCGCTTCGAAACCGGTATTTTATCTGAAATTTAACGACGAATATAAATACCGATACGACACGTCCATAGTTGTATTACGGAATTACTGGAATTTTTTTACTAGTGAAAATCCAAGTCACTATTTTCTACAAGTCTACGAATTTCGTACTTATAAAACAATTAAAGACGATGTACAACAGTGGCCTTACTGTGTTGTTAAAAGCTTTTGAAAATTATCTCATGCAAAAATAACCGTAGTTGAGACTTGGAGAGTTTACACTGATCTCAACCATAGTAAATCAAATTTTAAAAAAAATGTCTTAAATAGGTAAATTTTAAGTAATTTTCTGGGGAAAAAAAAACAGATTAGAAAACACATCTCCTGTGTGGTGAACGCTAATAGGCCGAAATTAGGTAGTAATTCTGCTGTGGCATTTAATGCTGCGGCAGCAATTCGTACGTCCTTCTTATAAATCCGGACCGCAGTTCATACGTCTCTTTCATTAACCCGGACCGCAACTCGTACTTGATTTAGGAATTCGAAACCTCACCAACACCGGCCAAAAACTTATGCATTGTTCTTTCCATTCACATTTCGTTAAATTTCCATAATATAATATAGGTTCCGTAACACAGTCCTCTCACCGGCACACGTTTTGACGTCTCGGTGACTAATTTTACTTTTCTTGATTATTGGAGTGGTGCGGATTATATTTGTATGATGAGTATAATAGAAGCATAATGACATGCATAGCCTGAACCGATTGTGTACCCATAGATGCATATTTATAATTTGTAAAATTTATTATAGTGTGAACACGACCGTCATGTTAATTTCCGGCCAATAAACTCAAACATGTTTGAACGGTTTAAACCCAAACTGAACCGGTGTAGTCAGCGTGAACAATACTTGCTGGAGTAATAGTATAACTCGACATCTTCATTATTGCTTATTTATATTAACCCAGGCCTTTAGCCGAGTCGTCTAAGCACTAAAGCAATACGCGTTTAAACGATTTCAATTTCAATCCCGTGAAGAATACATATATTTTTTACGAATAGAGTAAGTAAACATTTTAGTCGAGTAAATAGAAGTATAGTTTTTATTTACTAGACCGAGTGACTGCATTCGTAGCTAATTCATTAATCTAGTAAAATCTTAACGGCTTTTATTAAAATAAGAAAATAATATTGTAATCTGATTAAAATGTATCTTTGATTCGGAAACTTACTTTACTAAATATTAGGTATACACAAGTTGCTTTCCTCGTGTGAACGTGATAAAATCTCTACTAAATCATTTAACTTGCTGTAGTAAAAGTATATTCTCGTATTATTCTATTATATAGCGTTGTCAAATTTAAACTTAAACAACATTTATAGTAAGTATACTAATGGATTCACCAAAAAAGCAATCGCTACGCTATTGTATTATGTAAAATCCAAAGCGCATTACCAAAATTCGATTTGGCACGTGACATATGGTTCATCACATACTATTATGACGACTTGGCGATAAAAAAAGCCGTCTGCATTATAAAGGTCGATTTTAAACCTTTGTGAACTTGAACGAGCGAATGCCCTTTAAATTACTTTTTCGGGGGAAAAAGAGATACTAAACTAATATAATATATGCATATATATTATTTTTGAATAGGTTCACAAAATATCGTCAGACGGGTACTTTCTGTTACAACGTTGGATAATATTATGTACTTTATTTTTTTTTATCAAAACCGATTTACCTAAACCTAACCTATTACCAGTGAATCACAATTCTCAATTCACAATTTTCTTTTGTAAATAACCAAATAGGTATTAATGTATTAATTATTTTTTCAAAACGGGAAATTTGCCCAAATATTGTAGATTTTTACTTAGATATATTAACGAAAAACAAACAAATTAAAAAAATTAAATAAATGTCTGCTAAATATTGACGTTGACACTTTATGGAGTCGACTATAACATTTATTTTTAACAAAAAATAAGAACTAATTACCTTAAAAAAAATAAAACAACTAGGCTTGTTTTTAGGTCGACTTCTATTTGAATATACCATGTGTCCCCCATGTTTGACGGATTTTTCCTAGCGCTGTTATTATTAAATATTTTTTTTTTTAATCGGTTTGTCTTCGAGGGGGACATCGATTTGAAAAAAAAATGAAATTTGTATTTTCATCCCTAAACACAAAAAAAAAAATAACTTTTTATTTATTAACAAAATGTTCGAAATAACCATTTTGTAAAATATATTATTCTAAACATTTTATTGTATCACGTACTCATATCTGATGAATAGTTGTAAAAACAATAGCGTAAAAACAATTAATATTCAGTAATAATCGCAATTGCCGCATGGTAATTCTTTATCGCAACTGCAGTTTATTGAATAATAATTGTTTTCACACTTTGTTTCTAGAAACTACAACGGCAATGATTAAGAAACTATTCATCGGATATGACTGTGTGATACGTTAAAGTTTTAAGAATAATGTCTTTTACGAAATGGTTATTTTAAAAATTTTGTAAAGCGAATGAAAAAAAGTATTTTTTTTTTTTTTTTGTCTTTAGGGAATGAAAATAAAAATTTAAATTTCGATGTCCCCCTCGAAGAAACACCGATTAGAAAAAAAAATTGTGAACATATTCAATAATAACGACTCTAGAAAAATTCGTCGAACATGGTGGGACACACTGTATTTACATGAAATTTCGAAGGTATTTTACTGTTGTTGCTAAGGCAACGGCATATAAGACCAGACAAAAGATATTATGTTAATAGAGAGATTATAAATAGATAAACGGTTCTTTACACAAAATTTAAATAACGCATAGGTAAATACACTGCACCTACTCTGTATAGATTATTTCAAAAACATTGTGTTTCGTTAGAGTTAACATTAAATTTTAGATTCTGGCTAGAGTACCTACAGAAATTAAATTCAGAGCGAAGCAAGTAATGCATTGGTTTTACTATGATGTTTTATGCTTATTTTTTTATTTTTTTTTTTCGGATGTAAACAATCTTTCTACAAGCAATGCAATGCTTGCTCTGATCAAAAAATGACAAGAGACCTTTTTTGTTGAATTTTGGTTGTAATTGGTACATTGGGAATGCGATTTTTTGATTTTCCAAGCAATAATAGTCGGAAAAACTAGAAAAAACGTAAAATAACAACTAAACGATTTTACAACGTTAACTTACATTATTTATATTTTTTTTGTTTTATGCCAGAAATCTTGCACTAAAATTCAAGTTTAACATCCTTTCTGAAAATAATTATTTAGTATGTAAGAAGCTCATTTTCTGATTTCCGGGGCAGTCTTCTTGGTAATTGCGGAAAAATGTAAAGTTTAGCGCATTATAATGGTTTAAAGATTTTTAATTTTGCTTTTTTGTTATAGTTCGTTTGGAAATCATAGATAACCGAAATTTTCTTAAAATACTTACACTAGTCTTTTCTTGACACGATAAAATGTTTAAAATATTCTGACCATTATGACCATTCTGATATTATGCCGTCGAAAAGTGTATTTCCGAATAAAAGTGAAGTTATCAGCTGATCTTCAACTGTAAAACGAATACTAAAAATATGGATGGGCGCCATTCGAATGTTTAATCTGAATACGTCCGAGAGTGGGAGGGGGCGAGCGTCGGGAGCACGGATGTCATAGAACAGAGGAGAGGTAAATTTGGCCTTTTTATCGTTGGTTTTATTACAGTGAGTGATTCACTATCGCAAAAATACTAACGATAGTCTATCCACATAGTTTGTGTTCATTAATCTATCTAAGGATTTAAACTAAACGTTCCATCAATAAATGTTGAACATAATTGAAAACGACTTGATTTTCCAATAATATTCGCCGGCGTTCCACGTATTCCATTTATATTTCGACGAGAAGATAAAATGTATCCGATTCGGTTTCCGTCAACCCGCGGTCGTATTTATTCGTCGAGGTACACGCCTTTTTCCGCTATTACAGTCCGACGAATAGGGAGCGAGGATGCTGTGTTTGTGCGTGAGCCCGCGGGAGGGTGGACTATTGATCTCGCCGGAGCTTTGGCGCCTGCCTCTTTTTCCAAAGGGGGTGTGTAACGGTCTTTCCAATGTCCGTTATACTCCCTCGGACACCATTTTCACAGAAATTTCCTCCCGGGACGACATAAACAAACAATAATAAACGAAATACATTTCCCGTTGTTTTTAACGGGGGGGTTTTTTTTTTACTTCGTGTAGGTATTCAAAGGTTGACGGACGATAGGAAAAAACCGTTTTAATGATCATATTATAACATCATGACGGTATTATGTAAAAGCCGGACATATTTTCGCGCCATGGTTAGGCCACATGCCCCACATAGTTTGTCTGTTGTAGATAAGACGTTTAGAAAATATTGTGGGATGTAGGGTGATAACGTGTAGCTTATAAATACTGTAAACAGTGTAAGTAATGATAAATCATTGGAATCGAAAAAACTATTCCGAACGGAACTCGGTAACACAAAAATAAAACTAATCCATAATTCTTCCTTTTGTCATCGGTTTTTCTAATTTTTTATTATTTATTTTCTTTTTCGAAAAAATCGTTCAAGTACCACCGGAAGGGAATTTCGTATATGTTTTATGGTACAACGAGAAAAATCTGAGCGTTTTCACTAACCGTAAAAAAAACATATTATTTCAATAAAACGAATAACTTTTTACTCAGATTCTAAAACTCGGTAACTTTGTTTGACAATGCGTGTATCCTTCGGTGTACCAAAGCGTAACTGTTTTAGGTGAAAACGAATTAATTCATTGATTTTATACCCGTTGTGAAAACCGAAAACAAAACGTTAAAAGACGATTCGTTTGAAAACATAAAAGTATAATATTTTTTTTTTTTTTTAGTAATATTATTGGTAATTATTTCCAATGCATCTATCATATTTTTATGTTTTTTTTTTATTTTAACGACTAATTTGAAACAGAGCAAACGTTTCAACGAATTCGCGGTGAAAACATTTCGTTTGAATTGCGAGACCATATCTAATAATAATAATGGTTATTTGAAAAAGTATAATGTATAAAACGAAACGGTTATTTAGCATCTGCTTGTAAACGGATATACAAAGAATATGAAAACGAGTTTTTTATCAGGCTGCAGGTGTGTTTTGACACTGCACGCTGTACGGTCCGATGCATTTGCCAAACATGTATAGGCATAACCATAATTTCTTGTACGCGTCAAAATTTAAACGTGTTTTTTTCCGCAAAATGTATTATTTATTAATTATTACGTTATTATACAATACGCACATAATATTATAGTATTATACAACGTTATCCCGTTTCACGCATGTCATAATGAACACCGAAATAAAACCGTATAAAAAAAAAAAACCGACCGTTGTTTAATGTATACGGCAACGTACGTACGTCGTACATATTATAGATACGAACAGTGAATAATGTTTAAGATACTAGTTAATTATTTTTTAACTTTTTAGATTAACTAGTGAGTTTATTTTCTAATCAAATCATGAACTTATCTAGTTTAATTGACAGTTGAAATAACTTGGCTTTTCTCGGTCGATATAAAAATAATCCATAGAGTTAAACAATTTCGATATATTTTTCTAAAGCTGAAGCTTTCGGGAAGACTGTACCATACGTCAAATATAACTTGCTCTTCTTTTTAACATTGAGCGAGTTCCGTCCATTTATGGTTCGCAGCTAAAACTCCATTTTCCCTTTCCAGATTTTCAATGTCCATTTTCAAAAACCTTAAATTTTGAAAACCAAAGATCTTTGGTTTTTAGTTCTATTAACTGCAATGGAAATAGTCTTTTTTCGACAGATGGGAACGGTGGAAAATGAATTTATCTAGTCTCCGCCGTCAGTGGTGATATTGAGAACATTAACGTGGATTTATATTTTCGAAAATCTTCGAATCGTTTACTGAATGAGTTTTTCGTAGATTTAATGGCCGATTTAAAATACTCCAAATCAATAATACAACCTGAGCTTTCCGTGTACCCTTTCTATCGCGAACAGTAGTTGCTGACAACGGAATGTCTTTTATTTTATTGATTATTCCTGTTTTATTTTTGAATTCAGAAATCTTTTTCAGAAAAAACACTGAAATCAGTGAAGGGTTTTCCAGATTTCGTAATTTCGTGGGATACACCGTAACTGGCTGCAGTCAAATTGGTCGCTGACTGCAACCAGTTATTAAATTTGGACGCCGATTGTCGAGATTTACGAATTTACGAATCGATTCCGGCCACTGCTGTTTTTCTTTCGTTTCCAGCGTTGGGTGCGTCTTAGCAAAATAATCATGTTCGGATAGGAAATGACGATATTCAATATTCGATTTTTGATTGTTTTCGAAGTTTTCGTCACGAACAAGACATGTTGGCTGTCCCGTGGCGTTCTGGACAAATGGAAAAATAATCGGTCCGCTCACTTCGAAATCCTCGATTTTCCTCTTCGATTCTGCGCACTTTGTGACGCCTCGTCCGCGGTGTTGCGGAAAAATAAACCAACTGCGCCGCACCGATTAATGCGATTTTCTATTATTATATAACGGCGCGAAATCGTAACGTTCTACGGAATAACGATAATCGAGTTTACCTGTACAGATAGGACACATACTCATGTACACGCACGTATACACAATAAAACTAATTGCGCGATAAGGTTAATAAATACCGCGGGGACAATGAACAGGTTCCCGACCCGCACGCGTTGTAGACAAAAATGATTATTTACATTTTATTTCTACCAGAAATAAATATCGTTCCGATTCGGAATTATCGCCGTTTGTCGCTACAACGGCGCGTCGGCGTGCGCAACAATGTGTGTCGGTGCATTTTCCAAAGAGCCGCGGACGCGGTGATCGAGGGGCCGCAGGTTCCCGGCCCCGGATCGGTAGTACACTCACAAACGGGGGATTGCGATTTTATTAAATTTGTTCTGCATAACACAATCTCGTATTGCGATTATTTTATAAACGAGGCGGAAGTGTCCCGTGTGAACTTTGTCTCGTTTCGGGTCGGCCCGCGTCGTGGCGTCGTTTCTCCGCAATTTCCCGCTGCAGCCGTTTATACACCTGCCGCCGGTTGACTATCGCGTCCCTGATCAAATCATCCAGGTGGGCTTCGCGTTTGGCCCGGTGTTTGCAGTGATCGTAGACCCGGGCGCTTAACCAGTCGATCATCTGCCTATCGGTCTGCGTGTAGTCGGCCATCTCCAACTGGCGCATGGCCCTGTCGGCGACGCCGGCCACGGTGTGCTCGGCCAACGCCCGGGCGTACATGGCGCGGTAAGACGGGCCGGGCGCCGCGCGCTCCACCGTCTCCAACTCCTTCTGGGCCCGGCTCAAGCGCGCGGCTTCGATGCAATCCAGCCTGTCCAACTCGACCAGCTCCGCCAAGCGTCTGCGCCTGTAGACGTCCTGTTCGCGGCGGAACCAGACCGCGTCGTCCTCGTACACGACGCACACGGTGGCCTGATTGAGGACGGCGGACACCAAGTTCTTGGCCGGCGCGTACCATTCCCTCTTGAAGTCCGTCAGGTCGGCGTCGCACACCTGCGTGGACGCGTCCACGCCCGTGGACGTCTTGACCACCTCGATCCCGATGTCCTGCGGCACGTATCGCGGCGAGATTTGACACTGCATGGCCTGGGTTCGCGTTCTCGGTTCCGCGGGGCCCTGCGGCTCGCACTGCACGTAGACGCTGGCCCGGCCGCTGTCGCCGGCGCCCAGCTGTATTTTCAGCTGCAACCGGCGTTTGGCCTCGAGCAGTTTGCGCCGGACCGCCAGCGACGGTTGCGGCTGCGGCGTCGGCGGCCTCGCCCTCGCGTAGTTGCTGCCCCTGCGGATCCGCTGGTCGTACATCCCGTTGCCGTCGGTCCGGCATTCGGGCGGCGACGCGCGCGCGGCCGCGGCCGAGCAGTCGGCCTCGCGCAGCCGCATGCGCCGGGCCCACTGCGGCTGCGCCGGCGGCTTCTTGCGCGTCGACAAGTCGACGTTCACGTGATTCCAATTGACCATGAGCATCGCGGCGTCGGCGTGGATGTGCGCTTACACTGTTACGGGCGCGGCAAATGCGGCAAATGCGGCTGACGAACGACCCGGCTAATTTTACACGCGTCCAGTGTTCGCTGGAATACGCGAACAAATATTTTTTTGTTTTTCTACGCGTTGTTTCGGTATCACTAGAATCGTCCCTTCTCCCCGCCGCCGCTCGTCACTTTGCCGACGCCCGTCGCGTTTATTGCGTCGTCCCGTCGTTGTCGTTACGTACACGTGTGTACGCGTGGTATACGGAGCGATCGCGGAAAGTCCAAAAACGCGTGTAGCCAGCAGAAAAAAAAAAAAAAAAAAAAATTAACAATAAACGAAAAGAGCCGAGACTGCTGATGAGACGGATGTGCCACCGTCGCAGACGAGAAGTGTGAAAAGTGTGTAGGGTGCGCGGACCCGTTGCGTTTATACCTAGGGGCGATAAATCACTGCTGGCGGAAAACGATTCCGAACGGAGTTCAGTCGAACGGGTTTTGAATTGCCGTCGTTACGGCGAGTTCCGTCGAAATTCCATATTACATCACTCGTAAAAAAAAAGATCAATTATTTTCAATCGAATGACAAAAAAAAAAAAAAAAAAAAAAAAAAATCGAAAATAAACAACCCGTTAATGTCGTTCAAAACTTTTCGCGTTTCTCGAGGTTTTTTCAATAATTCAAAAAACTATTCGAATTCTACGTTCGTGAGCACCGTCCGGACCAGAGTTTTCTTCCAGAGAATACGCTACTGTTAGGATTCGGAACGAGATTCCCGGTAGAAGAACACAACCGAACAAATCGAAAACCATGAAACTTTTATCGCCGTACATTTTTCTAGTGGAAAATGCTCGAATCTGTTCACTCAACACGCTAAAAGATGCGAAATTTTACACGGCCGGTGTACGTCGTTTTAAACATTTATCAAAATTTTCAGCAGTCCAGCCACCCCATCCCCCCTCCCCATAGGACATTTTTTTTTTTTGAACTTCTTGATTGCCTTGGCACCTTCATCGCAGTGCTGAAAACACGACTAACACGATATTCGGTAGTATAAAGTTTACCGAGGTTTACACACGTTACTTTCCAATGTCTTCCAAGCCATACCGGCGCAATAGTTGACTACCCGCGACGCGCAATGAATGGCCGGTGTTGTTTCGATGCTGTGCGGGGGTTTTCAGTTTACGTGAAATGTTTAGCCGGTCCGGTTTCCAAACGCGCGCCCGGAAAACTTTTAGCGCGTCCTGTATAATAATATAACATCATTGTACGCGTCACTAAACAGTGCGCCGGTGACGGTGACGACAACGGCGGCGACGGGTTTTTTTATTTTTTTTTTTTTTTTTTTTTTTTTTTTTTTGTGACCAATTGAATTTTAGACGGATACACCTATTATTATTTGAGAAAAAAAAAAAACAAACTAGATGAAAAAAAATAAAAATCCATTCGTCGCTGTTTTGTTGTTCTCCTCGGTGTGCCTGGCTGCAGCGTGTGTTTTCACAGCAGAACGAAAAAAAGAGATTATTTTATTTTAATGGTAGAAAGGCCAAGATCCGTCCCGGGTTGTCGCACATTGTAACCTTGAATCATACCGTGAGCGTTTTTTTTTTTTTTTTTTTCTTCTACAACCACTACCCAACTCGACGCAATATATATTATTGTAGAATACGGCGGTCGACCTACGGGACTTTCGTCGCAGTAATAATTGTGTATCAAATCCACAAACAAAGGAAATATCACAACACGCGCGCGCACAACTCGCTTATGTAATGTTATGTCGTGTATATACATGTACAACAACACTTGCTCGCGGTCGTAGTTTTTCGTGATTTTCTCTCAGAAAAAAAAATAAATAAAAAAAAAAAAAAAAAAAAAAAAAAAATACAAACAAATACATAGCGTACGGAGAGCGAGAGGGAGATGAGCACTGCGCATCAAAAAAACGCCAATAACGACGACGGCGTTCCATTTCGTTCGGTCCGTCGTCTTCGCGGGCCGTCCGGTGTCGACCGTAAAATAACGTTTTACGTTTCCATCACGGTGGATTAGGTGTAAAAAAAGACGGGGAGGAAGGGAAAAAAACCGGGGAAAAGACCGATTCCGTGCGTTTCCCAGACTATATTATCATTATTATCATCAACGTACCTACCTCTATGTAGGACCGGACAATTCAGAGGCGGATTACCGAATAGGCCAAGCAGGCCCGGGCCTAGGGGCGCCGTGATTTTAAGTTGTATAAGGGGCGCAAATATTTTTCTTCTTCCGTTAAAAAACAAACACCCGTAATTTCAGTGTATTTTAGTTGAGCTCGTGGATGGTGTTTTGAAGTCTGCGGCTGCCGGTGGCCTATATTACGTTAGTCGCCGTAAATAATTATTCTTATCGGTTTTATCTTATCGTGATCTATGATCATACGAGGTCTGCAGCAACATTAAACTGATTGAGTGCATTATCTCTACATAGTAAATTAACTTTTTCAAAGCTTGGATTGCTGCTCTGATATGGTAACTAAATTCGCTACTAGGAAATCCGGGAAAAAAATTAATTGAATTGGTTACGTAAACATAATCAATAAGCGATTAGTATAATTCCTAGAAACTAAACGACTTATTTGTATTGTACTTTGTTTTTGTACATTTTTTATGAACGTGAAATGCACGTTTAAAAAAAAGAATACAAGAGATTTTAGATTCTGAGTGGAGCGTGGTTTTACAATGATGTTTATTTAATTTTTTTTTTCCTATAACAACTTTTCTATCAGCAATTCGCCTTAGATTTACAACAACGATAAATATAATAAAAGCGCCATTTTATACAATGCCTAAGGGCGCTAAATTTCCTAATCCGGCACTGCCGGGTGCATATTATTATCTTCAGCACGGTTCCGATTATTTGGAACTCAGGAAACGGGCGATTTCGGTAATTTTATTTATTTTTTTGTTAATATAACAATATCCGAAGGCGTGATGCGTCGTTTTTTTTTTTTTTTTTTGTGCTACGAAATAATTTACTTATACATCCGACCGTCGAGTTTTTTTTTCGTCGGGACGCACGACGCCGTTTTCCGCCAAACGCCGTACGTAAAAGATTCGGCGGCGGAAGTCGTTCCCGCCGAATTGAACCCCGTCACATTTCCGCCACTGGAGATATCGACGACTCGTTTCCACCATGCGAGTATAACGATTTCAGTTCGGCATTCCGATAATCACTTGTTATCCGTCCACATCGGTTTAGCCCGTCGTGATTAGGCGTCTACGGCAAAACGGCCACCGAACGGGAAAAAAAACACTGGTAGCAATATTCTGCGAAATTTCGACCGATCCGTAACATTCGAAATGCGACTGAACTGTAACTGAACGGATCCAAACTACTCACTTCTTAACCTTAAGTGTCCTGTTCGTCATAGGCGAAGATTGGAGGATAGGGGAGACTCAGACCCCGAAATCGTCCATAACCACCCAAAAAGTGTTGAAACATAAATAAATAATTATTCTAGCCCCCTAACCCCCAGAAAATTGCACTGACCCCGAAATTAAAATGAACTTTTACGGCTAATTACGTTTTTATATGACAACCAATGATGGAATGATGGGAACGCATGTATAATACGATAAGTGATATTTTTTTTGCTCATCACTAAAATAGCCCCCTTCTCTGAAATTCAATCAAATCTCCACCATGCTGCTCGTGGTTTTTGACAAGTTGTTATACGCAATTTACGATTAAAAATCCTTAACAATTCTCTACATAAAATTCAATTAGTTTTAATAAATGACCTGTTGTTTTGCTCGCAATATGGTTTACAAGGTCAACTCTACTGTACAGGCGTTCGATTTCGATATATATTTATTTTTTAACAGTTTTCTTCGGAGAATTCCGTAACCAAAAACCACGAAAAAAAAAAAAAAGTATAAGTTGAAAAATAGTAAAAATTAATCATAATTAAATCCTAATTATGCTGTGTGGAAATGATGACATAATATTTCCTTACTAATATACCTAATTATAGTTATTGTCTTATATCGTTTAACTAACTTCGATGTTTGCTCCTATATAGAGTAATAACATCAATAAACCGCTTATCAGCAGTTTATTATATTTGATAGTACTGTGTTTGAACATTAACTTATGTAAATGCTTTTTCCAAGAATTTACTTTTTATGCTCTCAATTATTACTCTACTTTTTACTTAATCTAAACGCGGTGATACTTTATTTGAAATATTTATCGAATTTTTTAACATTTAGTTAGGTCCTTTTTTTTTGTTTTTATGGTTTTTATCGATTTCTGGTTTCACTTGGTACCTAGGGGAAAAATACGACTAATATTACTCCGCTCAAAATCGAGTTTCGCGCGTTAACAATGATCTAAACTAGATTACTCTGTATAATATTCTACTTTTTGACCTACGACAGTACCCTAACCGTAAGCAGTATATACATAAAAAACGAAAAAAAAAAAAATGCACCGTTTTAAAAAAGTTTTCAAATTCAAATATTTTTTTTTTTTTTCGAAGTATAATGGTAAAACGTTACACAGTGGTGGAAATTCTCCCCTCTTTTTCTGGTGGCCCCTAGCACTCGGTTTTTAAACAACAACAAAGTAAAATACACTTGTGCTGATAATAACCATCACGAAACTACTTGTAGATTTGTTTGTAAGTGAATTTGAATATTTTCGAACTGACGAATTTCCACGTACCTAATTTCCTTAAATATACACTCGTCATGGTATGCCATTTTTGTATTCTGAATGTATATAACACGTGTAATTTTAACACCTGTGTAGGTACCCTTACATAATATGCCTTTTTTTTTTTTTTATGTAAATTATGACCGTATTATATAGCTGCGAGAATATACCTACCCGCACGTTCCACCTCGACCGTAAAATAATGAATGGGTTAACGTCACCCCAAGTGACTTGTATTGTGTTCTATAAGTGGTACGTTTATTCGTTTCCAGTATCTAGCTACCTATCGTTCCGCGATAAAAACGACCCCCGTTCCGTTTACCGCCTGTATATTGTATTGTATTATACGGATTGGAGTAAAACGTGGTTTTATTTATGAAACCGGAAATGTTTCGAAAACGAAAAAAAAAAAAAAAACCGTCGGCCGGAATTACGGTCCGTCACCACCGGCATAAAAGACGGGGTGTCCGGTCGTCTAGACTGCAGAGTCAATGAAATTCGTCGTCGAACATTCTTGGATTTTTCGATCACGTCATCGGCGTAAAACTGATCATCGGTGGCTATAAAATACGTCGTAAATTTCCTACCAGGTTGTATTACGAGTGCATACGTGAATATAAAACAATATAACGATCACACACTGTATACGCGTCGTCTTGTAACTTTGGTTCGTCAGATTTTGATCAGGATTTCGTGTTCTTTTTCGGTATAAATCATTTATATACATATATATATATAAAGAAACTCTTTTATTAAGTAAACATATTCAACTATATTGACACGAAAATTTAGAATAATCAATTTTTACGATTTTTGTTAAAATTTGATCTTAAAACTCGTATGAAAAAAAAAAAAAACTGTTGGGATAATTAAAATACGACTATCTCACTAACTAAACAGATCCCAAATTTAACAAAAATGAATTCTCGTAGTTTTTTTTATTGAAACAAGATGTTTGTTAGAAAATACGAATCGCAAAAATTAAAAATAACAAATTCGGCAACGCTGCCGCGGCGTGCTATAAGAATATTTGTCCGTGTTACGTACAATATTTTTTCTGGTTTTTCTCAATTATCATGAAAACCAATTGGAAAATCATTCTGTAATGCGCTAACTAGATCAAAAATGCAACAAAAATAATTCCATGAATTTTGTGATTTGAGGAGTATTTCTGTTATAAAAGGTGTTCTTCACCAAAGCCGGAATCATTTATTGTGTGACAACATGGTACCACAGGATCCGTCATCCAGACTGATCGATAGGTTAGGTTTTCTTGGGACCAACGAGGATGCGGTTTGCCTCAAAGCGGAAGTGGTTTAGAAAGGACTGCGAGTATATAACGCTCGAAAAATTATCCTAGAAACTATGAATCTAAAATTGTCCAACCCGTCGACCATTTATTCGCTCTAATCGGTGTCGTAGCCGACTCGTTGCATAACAGACATGACTCGTCGAACATACAAGAGAACGGAAAGGGTTCTAGTGAGGAGAAAATTATTATTATTTTTTTTTTTTTAAATTTATTTTTTGTTTATTGTTACTACGGTGTCTTAAAGTATAAACTATGCAAAAAGATCAGCAAAATCAAAACCATCGAAATAACCAAGAATCAAACGCTTTTAAATTTCATATTTATCGTGATTGTAGACATCACATATTCACGTATATTTCTATATACTTCCCCATGCTACAGAATTTATATTGAGCAAATTAAAAAAAAGCGAACATTTGTTATCGGGTATATTTTATTATAATAAAGTAAGTACCGACTTTTTTTATTTATATTGATTTGTTTTCTATTTTTTTAAAACAAAATCAAATTTACCAAAAATATTTTCGTATAAATCGTATAGACAATCGCTGATTAGTGTTTGTAATACCCAATCAGTACTCACTTTGTAGATGATAGTTATACCACCTAGTTTTAACATTAGTAGGTCTTAAACACTCTGTATACTCAATGTTAAATTATACAATGATAACCTTGAGTCTTTTAAACTACTGAAATCACTTAAACTCGATTAACCAACAATAGAAATTCAAAAGAATAGATACACTAACGGACCAGAAACGTTTTTCATATCAGATTGGTTGATAGAAACGTTCCGTTAGGATTATAAGCTAACTTAACGGCTACATCCGAAATCCGTTCTAAATATAAAATTTGATTTAAGGATAAACTCGTTCCGTCCCATGTAATCTATTTAGTTATAGAAGTTCCGTCCCTTTTTGCATTTTTTTCGCTATATTAATATAGTGTACAACTTACGACTACGATAACAATTTTGTATTTTTGTTATCGCACTAAGTAATCGACTTTAATAATGTTGTATTATTTAGAAATGAATATAGTACCTACTTTCCGCGTCAAATAACAAATAACTGTGAATCGTTTCATTCTAAATTTAATGGAATGTTTCATCATGCTCACCCGAATATTAACCAATTTATAGAAGCTTTAAAATATATTCAACAAGATACATACACAAAATTAAGAAGGAATTGGTATATACTTATTTTTAAACGGGACGTAATTGGTACACACGGTTGTTTTACCCGCGACGGAATCGGTAGGTATACACTGTATACCTTTTTTCACCCAGGACGGAATTGGTATAAAAAAAAAAAAGAGATTATTGGGACATAATTCAAATGCAGCCGACCTAACCTAATTTAACCTGTGGAGATTATAGGTGTATAATCTTCACAGGTAAACAAATAGGTTTTAGGTCTAAGGATAAACGTTAATCATTTTATTGTACCTACGAGTATATTCTTTTGGTGTCTATTACCTGTATAGGTATTATGTTTTAATTTTGAATACATCGAAGACATACAAATACGTGAAATGTTACAGGACAACGTAATATTATAAAAAGAACACGCGACAGCGGTTTACCTGTGGGTAGGTGAGTAACAAAGGCATTTGGATTATAATACATGTGTACTGCAAATATGTATAATAATATAATATCTTTTTCTAGCTCGGTAAAAACTAATATACTATTTTATCGTCAGAACGTCGAACCCATATTTTGCGATTCGGTTTAACTTGCGGACAAAATAGCGAAAACGTGTTTTCGTTCCACATTTCCAATATTATCATTAATAAGCAACTTAAATAAACTAGCCTAGGGATGATTTTATTTAATTAAAGCTTAAAATTCGAATCAGTACAAACTAAATTATCGATAGATGTAACGATAGCATACAAATTATCAACATTCTCAATAAAAACATACAATGATAAATCATAAAAAGTCAAAGGTAAATCTTAATTATTGCATTCTTCCTAAACTCAGTTTACCAGTGTATGATTTCTTGGATGAGTCTACACGGTAACAGGTTCATAATGTACAGGTACAATAGGTATTCGCTTTAAAAGTTTTTTAAAGAAATTTGAATAATCATCAGCCACAAAATAGAGGTTCTCAGAAGTCTAAGTAAAAAAGATAAAAATTATGGTTCATTTATAGATTCCTATAAAAAATTTCGAAAAATTAATAACACTACCTAGACATAAATACTATGACTTAATATAAATTATCAAATACTTAAATATTCTAGAACTTAATTTAACATATTTTCCATTTTTCCATTTTTTTGAATGCATGCATATTCGGTATTTCAGTGGTTTTCTATTTTAAATCGCCTATAAAATAATGATTTTTTTTTTAATACATATTTCCTATTTCCTGTAAGTAATTACAATAATCTTGTCTGTATCCAACTTAAAGGTGTTATCAGAATATCTAGTCTAAATGTAACGATATTGAATTTCCAATCGGTTGAAATATAAAATAAATAATAGTACATACTAATTTATTATTAATTATTATTATTGATATCATGATGGTATTCTTATCAATACCAATAAATAGTATACACTATAATATTATAACTATATAATGTGATAAGAACGAATGAAGGTGTCTCGTGATTAACATTTTTGTTTTCTCTGTCTCGTACGTAATATTATGGCAACAAAAACATTTTAAAGATTGCTCAATTTCTTTTTGTTTAGTTCGACAAATGGGAATCAATAATATATTTAATAAAAAAAATATTTACTTAACAAACGATTTTTTTTGTTTCATATTTTAATTGTTTATCAATATTTCTATGAGCGTTTCAATTTTCTCTTAACTTGAACTGTTAATGACTTATAACAAAAAAAAATTATTCAAGAATTCATAATAAATACCTACGCTCCTCTTTGGAAAATGTACATTATAAGTGCGAGGCCTTACACAAATTTAATAATTCTTAATTTTGTGAAATATCTATTTCATAATTCAAATATTTCGAACACTAATAACGTGAAACGTATATATTTTATATCTATTGGGGAAAATATTACGACGAGCACTCGCAAAACATTATTATTTTATATTACATAATATCCATGTCGGCGGTGACGGTGTTGTTAAAATGTATCGGAGCGATTTTTTTTTTTCCACGTTTCGGGAGACGACCGACACCGAATCTCACTCGATCTATACCTATATAATATATAACATTATTTTCGTGTAATTTTATAAATTGTTATTATATACCTCTATGTATATGGAAAGAAAAAACTATGATAAAAACGATTTATACCGACAAAGAAAAAGAAAAACGCGTACAAGTTACGCTAGTTAGTGAACGGGAAAAAAAAAATATATATATATGTATATAAAATACGAACTAAATAAATGATCAAGGCCGTCGATTTACGGGAGTTTTTTGACCCATTGAAAATTGTTTTCTCGTAAATATTTTTTGTATACATTTATAGTATCACGCAGCTATATAATACGACGCACGGTTGGCAGACCACTTGAAAACAGTTAGGCCGATGGCAATAAATTTGACAAAAAAAAAAAAAATTTATTTTAAAAATAGCCAGGCATACTTCGTGCCATGGGTTGAACATTATTGTAGTATAGGTTAGGAAGGTATACAGGATAATTTAATTTAGATACTGTAAATCGTTGCAATCAAAAACTATTACGAGTGAAATTTGATAAACTAGTAAATCTACTTATGTGATTAATAAACATAAAATGATTATAAACTAAAAACGAAATATCCTTTGTAATCAGTTAATTTCAAAACTTCAAGAACAGGTCTAAATTTAACCTAAAAAGGTTGTGTCAAAGCTAACAAGTTCGATTAGCTCAGTTTTGATATTAAGCCTATTTACCAGAGTCAAAAATTACATGATACGTTCAAATAATATCAAAAATCATATGATCTATTTAAATAATATCAAAACTCATATATTCTATTTCATCTATCATCAAAACTGAAATTTAAAGTAATATTAAATGTAAGTAAATGTTTAGTGTTTCCCCTTTATAATAAAACCGAAATAGGTATCTATGTTTTGTATTAGTGTTTTTGGAAAACTTGTTGGCAATCTAGAAAAATATTTCAAAAAAGTACAAATGTACACAATATGAATCTTTATTAACTGAAAAATGGTTTTTCATGAAGAAATAGAAGCCCAAATCTTAGTAAACCAAATATAGCTTCTTCCCTCAGTGGCATTCACAGGGAGGTTAAGGATTATATCACTCCTTTTGTTGACCCAAAAAAACAGCAGCTATGAATATCTAATACTTTAGTAGTTTAGTCTTGAAGTTTTTATATTTTATCTAAGTTACGAAATAAGCTTGATTTAGAATAACAATTTTCTTTTTGCCATTTTAATCCTTTTCTGATTAAGGCTTGGAAAATATTAAAAATTTAATTTATTTTTCACAATTTAATTTGTGTACTCTACTTAAAGAACAAAATATTTTTGTTGTTGATAATATTTTTTCTTATCTTGGGTCTGTGTCTGTTGGTAATCTACAGTCTGAACACAAAAGTCTTATTGTCATCTGGAACACTTTTTTTCGCCTATAACAATTGTTAAATTAAAACCATAATTAAAAAATGTAATTAATATAAATTTTAATTATTTTGTGATAATAAATAAAATAATACAAATATGTTCCAATGAGGTTTTTGGTTCAATATTTATTAAGCTGGAAACTTCTTATCTTCCATGTTATATGGAAAATATTAGCCAAAACAATACTCTGTTACCAGTTCTGAGATCACTTAATGATAATAATACTGTTTTTCTTCATTTATTGTTTTTGAGCTGAAGATTTTCTAGTTTTTAGTGTTTCTGTACTCAGCAAATCTAGTACAACTGCTCTTCTATAATTCTAAAACTGAAATTTGATTTAACTCAAATTTATAAACTGCATTTAAATTTATAAACATTAAATCTATGACACCAAAAAAATAATCTATGTCACAAATTATTCGCTTTCAGTTCTACACTGTATAGAGCCCACAATCAAATATAATCCACTCTTCACATATATTTATTATAATCAAAAATGGCTGTAGAACAAGTAAATATATTTAATGAGCTATGTTTACCTTTAAGTTTTTTGTTGTTACTTCTGAAATATGTAAGTTTGAAATAAGATGGCTTATTGTTTGTCCATTTAAATAATTCTGTCAAATCTTTCTGTGACCTATCATTTTCTTCAAATTTTTAACTGACACTACATTTACTGGTAATCCATTTATATTTATTCTTATTGTACCACACATATCTTTTCTAATATTAATTTTTGTACCAAATTTGTAGATTTAAAGTAATTATCAAAATAAACTTCTGTTACTGTTTCCATACAGACTTTGTCAAGTATAAGACTACTCCAAAATCAAACCATCAAATCCTTGATTAAGGCTCAGAATTTATCAAAGATTTCATAAAATGTTCATGTTATTTTAATACAAAAAAACTAAATGTTCAATAGCAACCCTTAATATTAAGATGGAATAACTAAATTTGGAAATGTCTTTTTTTATTACTTATTTGGAAAATATTTTCAGGGAGGTACAGTTTTTTTATTAGTTAAAGACCACCCTAATGAATTCTATAAAAATATAAGTTTGGCTTTGACAATAGATAAAGTCAGCTTTATTTACACCAACAAGTTTTGAACACTGGTCTGGTAGCAATGAAATTTGGATTTCTGTACAACTTTTGAGATATTTCTTCTATATCTTTACTTTTATCATCTTCATTGACAGTATCTAAATACACAAAGAAATTATACAATATCAAATTATGATATTTTAAAAATAGGTATCATAATTTGTAATAACATACCTCCATTTTATAATGTAGTTTTTTCTTTTATTCTTAGATTTAATAGAATATCTATATTTCCATTGCTGCCAAAACTGAATTGTCTAAATCAGTGATACAATATTAGAAACAATAATATAAATTATCATTTTTATTTACAGACTGTTAATTTAAAATTTGTTGTTATACATAATAGTTATGATTGTCTATTACAGTATATAACATTATGTTTATAATAAAAGGCTCCTACAGTGTTATCTAAATACTAATAACTATTCAATATTCATTTTTTTTTTCTAATATTTAAAAGAGCTAGACAATTTTAAAAAATGAAAACATAAAGTTATTTTTTCAGTGATTAAGAGATGAAAATAAAAAAAATAATTTTTCTCTAAATTTGTATATACAAACTCGATTGAATTCACATTTGACAATTGACATTAACAGAGTTATTAGCATTTGGATAACATTGTAGGACACTCTGTATAGCAATCAAAATTTGCTTTATATCATCATTTTCAAAATCTTTTCTTATTGAATGTTGTAATGTCGGTATGTTTTGTTTTTTCTTTTATTCTTAGAACAAATTGTAATATCAACACTTCCCGTGTTACCAAAAACTTAGTCAGCTGTACAAGTTTCATTAAGTCCATCAGCAAACACAATACCTAAACAAAACTATTATTTTTAACTACTATAATTACCAGGAAAAATGATCTAACTACTCACCTAAATTTTCTACATCAAATTTAAATGTGAATTGAACATTCTCAACATCCTGGTTTTCAACTATAACCAGTGTTTCACTAATTTTATCATTGTGTATAACATCCTCAAAATCTGGTATCAAATCAGCAATATCTGAAATTTCTTCCAATTAACGATCAATATATTCAATATTCAAGTAAATCATTTGTAATTCAACAATACATATTTGTATGCAAAAACTTTACCAATGGAACTTATAAGTCTAGTCACTTCGATCACATAATTTAATTAACAGAAAGTAATTGTAATACTAATAGTTAAAGAATTAAAAACAAAACTACACAAATACACATGATAACAAAAAATCGAAAAATTCATGATAAGTGATTATTTTTCCTGCCATGATATTTTTTCATGAATTATATTATGATAGCGATTTCCATGTGAATGCACCAGGGCTTAAAATATATCTTAAACCGAGAACATCACTCATATAAACATTTATCAGATAATACAAATAAACAGTTTTATCAGTACCCGCCTACTTAAAAGTTGAAACAAACGACACACTTACCTTTCTAGAAAATATATTTTTTTTTTATTTTTATTTTAAACTTACAATCTGTATTCAAAAACACAAAAAGTAAATATAATGGCTTTGTGCATAAAATAAATAACAATAACATGGTTGTTTGATGAGGGAGGCTATGTAGTGATAGAAACCTACAGAGAATATAGATGGCTAACAGTGATTTTTAGTTGTAACAGTTGTTACTGCTAACTGTTACCATTGATTAATTCTGCTACATAGCTGCTGTGACTGGCGACTACTATCAATTTGAGGACATTTTGAAATATTATACTTATATATTATATTATTATATCCTGAAAACCCTAAATTCGAGGTAAATATTTCAAAACAGTTGGCCATCTCTAGTAAGGTAACTGTGTCATTTATTCCAGGTAGGCAGATGTTGATAAGAAACTTTTATGAGTTTATGATAAGGACAGTTTTTTTTATCAGTGATCTTCTCTTCGACCACATAAACTAAACTTAGTTTATATGGTCAAACGATTTTTTAAAGTTTATTCTTATCTATTTCAGTGTTAGTGACATAAACAGTTTTTTTTTCTGCCTGATATTAAAAATGTTTAAGGTATGATGTTATCAGTTATCAATATTTATCTCAGTTATTACCATGGAGTTTTATAAAATCATTGAAAAAGTCAACTATGAATCTGTCTTTCTCGCACATATGTTGGCTAATGCGGGTTCTATTTATTATATGGCTGCTCTGTGACGTTTGTAATGATAAATATATGAAGTTTTTACTTTTATTATAATCATATTATAATTTATAATTTTAATATTTACACTATTTTACAGTACAAGTTTGATATAGTAGGTAGTACGATCATAAATTATTAGGAGGATACCACACCGACATTTACTGTCTCCGTCTTACAAACACGAGACATAGTAAATTTACGTTCAATAGGACACATTAATTTGTGAGGTTATTTTTAATATTAAAGTAAATTAATTTATTACCAAACTTAAATATACGAAGATTATACATGCCCTAGGGTTGATGTTTTTCGATATTTTTACTTTTAAATGAGATATAAGTATTGTTAAATGTTACAATTTAACAATGATTTAAAATTAAAATTAACAGCACAAAACGTGTCCTACTGAACGTAAATTTGCTATGTGTGGTATGTATGGTAAATATCCTCACCTTTGTAAGACGCATACAGTTAATCCTAGATGTCAGTGTGGTAGATAAGAACCTTCTATGTTGAATATAGTTTTGCAATTTTTTTTTTTTTTTTATTACGATTTAATTCTTTATTTTTAGAATTTTCTTGTTGGAAATAGGACATAGTATGATTTATACTAACAACTAACAAATATGTTTGTGAGAACAAAATTCTAAATTTAGGAAGTATTAACAGTGTTAATATTATTAACATAGTTTCTACTTCTGTATAATGTGTCCAAAAGTACATAGTATCTATTTATACCTCTATACGCTTTAAGACATGTAGGAAGTACATATTTTAATAATCTTACAAGGTATATTCTTATATATATATCGCATATAATGTTTATGATTTCAATTAAAAATAATTGTGATATTTAATCTTCATTTGTCGTTAAAATATTTTTAATTTTTTACACAACCTTAATAAAGTTCTGTTCGAGGTGCCTAATAAAATAGCGGTCAAAAACTCAACTAGAATGTCCTCGCTAAGCGACCGAATTGATTAACGTTGTTAGATATGAAAGTACCCCGACCTTATCTTCTAAGACCGTGGTGTAGATTATATTTGATAAGTACCTATGGTTTGTGATATAAAATAATGATAATAAATTCGTATGATTATGTAAATTATTTTATTATTCGACAATTTGTGTATTTTGTGTTTATTGGTGTGTATTAGAGTCTGATTGTCTATTAACATTGGGTTTTAACAAGAAATTAGGTTTTGCACTAAATTTACTATCTTCCGCGATAATTAAATTTAATATACATATTGCTATAAATATATTCATATAGTATGCTGAAGGCTGAGCCCCTTCAATCAGTATCAGATCTAAGGTTAGGTTGATGAACCTTTGATCAAACATAAATGTTTGAATATGGTGGATTTTTAAATCCCGCCGGTCTTTGGCAGAAGAATCTACGAATTATCCGTGATTATTTACTACACCCCCTCCCCCATTATTTCCCTACCGTTAAAAATTTCTGGGGACGTTGCTGCCTTCGCTATACTCAGAATCTAAAATAAATTGAACAATTAAATATAAAATACCTTCCCGAGAACGTATACCTAATAATAATATTATTATGTTCTCTTTCGTAAAACAATAAACCGCGCGCGCGCGCGCATTGGTATAATTTACACGAGCATCAGACCGTGTCGTTAGTTGTACACGATTATTAACATAATTCGTTCGTTATACTTAAAAATACAATAAAATATGGGCGACCACGTCTGACTGGTAATTATTATTATTGCACTTACGCTAATACAGAGTGAGCGTGTGCGTATGTAGTTTATGATTTTAGGTTTCTTTTTTGCGGAGTACCGGGTTGTCTGTTGCAGTTCGTTTCGTCTCGTTTTGAGTTGGTAATTATTTATATCATATTACATCGCGGTGAGAATTTCGATAAAATTATATCGAATGTATTGTCGAGTGAGGTGCATCGAAACTCAGAAAATAAAAAAAAAACACCTATCAGTCCGTTGTTCGCGAGATTTCATTAATCTTTGGCGTACAGTGTGATTATCGATATTACTACGGACCAGAGATTTGCACGAAGATTTCGATTGAATTCGGAGATTCGAAACCGTTTGCAGTACGTTATAACAGTATGCCACACCTGCGTCTACTGTCACAGTTTTGGCTGCCGGTAACATAGCAAAAATAAATTACGTTACTTAGAACGTAAATGCAGGTGACTCGTGTAGTATAAGGCGATGCACTCTCAATCGTATATTCAACCGTCATCGCGACAGTATTAAACCGATAATAATTGTTTGCACACCTTTACTTCGTTAATTTCACCGTGTTTGGTTTATTATTACGTAGAGTTATAAATTAAAATCATAGCGATGTCAACAGCAATATATGTATTATGCACGTCCCACGCATAGTTTTAGGTTTCCTATAGTGCAAACATTGTTAATCAGATATGGCCAATATCTGGGCATGATACGGGACTTAATGCTATAATTTCTTACAGTGTTTATATGTTTTGTTGTACATTTCTCTCATTCGCTAACAATATAATCGGTTTTATCGACGGTATTACGTTGTTCTTGGCCTATAACATCAGAACAGACCCGCAGCCAGACCAAGTCTGCAGGTCAGCGGCGTACCGATAGGGTGGCAACGTACGGACAATGAGCTACGGGCCCATGACATTTAGGCATTATTTTTCAGTGGAGGGACAGTTGAATAAAAAGCAGGCGATGTCCATTGTTTTGTTTATTGAGCAACACGAGTAAAACAGAATTTTTTCTTATATTTTGCTCCAAACCGTGTCCAGATTGTGCCCCGACTTGGATTGTGCGCTTGGTCATGGCCGGTACTAGTAATTATTAATGGTGGGGGGGGGGG